TATATGTGCCTAAATGTACCATAAGGCAATTCCTATTTTGTCAAGGAGAAAACTAAGAGTTTTTGGTCAACCTCATGTAAGCATTAAAGTCAAATGTTATTTAGCAACACATTTTAAATCATACATAAAATATTTACTTAGAGATAATGTTTTCCACTAAGATTTTATAATACAATGTTATTCAAATTGCCTTCATCATTACTCAAGCCACACATATGAAGTAATCCAATATACATCATTCTCACATATATCTAAGTTGTTTGAAAATAGCTTTTTTTAGATTTATTTATTCACATATGCATACATTGTTTAGGTCATTTCTCCACCCTGCCCCCCTCTCCTACCCTCTCCCCCCTCCCCCCCTCAATTCCAGGTAGGTCCTGTTCTGCCCTTATCACTAATTTTGTTGAAGAAAAGACACAAGCATAATAAGGAAGACAAAGCATTTTTGCTAGTTGAGTTAAGGATAGCCATACAGAAAGATTCCTAACATTGCTTTCGTGTACCCATGTTGATTTATCTCTGAGTTTTACACTGGTTCCTGATCCCCTTATCATGTTGACCTCTGTCACTTTAAGGTTTCTGTATTAGTTCCTCTGGAGTGGGGACATCAAAAGCTTTCATGTTTTGGGTTTTCTACCTATCCCCATATCTTCTGTATGTGCTCTCCCCTTGTCATGTGATCCAAGTCCAACAACATTGCTGCATTTGCCCTTGATCTAAAGTCTGCATATGAGGGAGAACATACAATTTTTGGTCTTCTGAGCCTGGCTGACCTCACTCAGAATGATGTTCTCCAGTTCCAAAAATATGGAACGCTTCACGAATTTGGGTGTCATCCTTGCTCAGGGGCCATGCTAATCTTCTCTGTATCATTCCAATTTTAGTATATGTGCTGCTGAAGTGAGCTCTGAAAATAGCTTTTTGATGTATTTTTGTGGTGCTGGGGATCGAATCCAGGGCCTCACACATGCTAAGCAGATGCTCTACCACTGTACCACATCCCCAGCCCATTGTTTTCTTTTTAATTCCTGCTCTGCTTGTATATTCTTGACCTCCACGAAACAACTTCTTCCTATTGCTTTGTAAAAGGCTTATTAGCAACATCTAGCACTTGAAACTATAAGGTTCTAATCCCATTAAATCTATGCTAAATTCTTTTACCTCCTTTTTGTGTTTTTAAATAATGAGCTTATTTCAAGCACATCTTTTCCAAACAGTACTTTGATTCAAAACAAAATGCCATATTTTAAAAAATCAGACATCATGGACTATAATACGAAACTTAGGAATAAGAAAAGAGATAAGCTGAGTGTGGTGGTTCACACTTGTAATCTAATACCCCAGAAGCTGAGGCAGGAGGATCTCGAGTTCCAGGCTATTATAACCTTGACTACATAATGAGACTGTCTCAAAAAAAAAAAAAAAAGCTGGGTACTGGTGGCTTATGCCTGTAACCCTAGCTATATGAGAGGCTGAGATTGGGAGGATCACAGTTTCAGGCCAGTCTGGGCAAAAAAGTTAATGAGACCCCCATTTCAATGGAAAACAGCTGAGCACAGCAGTGTGCATCTGTCATCTCAGTATAACAGGAAGCATAAAACCGAAGAATTGTGACACAGGCTAGCATGGGCAAAAAAGTGAAACCCTATTTCCAAAATAATAAGAGCAAAAAGGGCTGGAGGTGTGACCCAAGTGATGGTTAAGTTTGAAGCCCTGATTTCAAACCCCAGTACCAAAAAAAAAAAAAAAAAGAGAGAGAGAGAGAGAGAGAGAGAAAGATGATTTTTGTTTCTTTTTTTCCCCCAAACCCAAAATAAATCTCCAACAGTGAAAAAATCTATACAGTTACTCAGAGCTGATTCTGTCAGTAGGGCTGGGGACAGAAGTGGTAAACAGGATGAAATCATGGAGCAGGCCTGCAGGGGAGGGTAGGAGGGTCAGGGTCCTGCCCATCAGAGTGAGGCTGCTTGTGTCCTGCACTCTGCTGTCAGGTGGGTAGGAGCAACTCTAGCCTCTCTCTGTGTGGGTGAGGGTGTCCCTCATTACCTCTCAGGGGCAGACAGGGTTTTTCACCCTGGTGGGCAATGAACAACACAGGACTGGCCCAGAGAAAGTAAGGGTCTCCTGAGAGGGACATTCTGCTGATTCCAAACAGGTGGCCCCTCCACCTCCATTTCTAGTGGTTAGTGGGAGAGGATGGAAAAGCCTGGTAGCTTAAGGGGAATGACCAAAGGTATAGAAACTTGGAGGACCAGGGTGGGGACTTGCATAGGTTGATGACTGTGCAAGAATTACATAATACACCTGCCACCCCACCCAGCCTGTCACTGGGAGAGTAGGTGGGGATGCAGAGCAGGTCCATAGGGCCACTCTTTCCCCTGGCTTTTTCCCCCTTCCTGGGCTCAGAGTGGAGGGAGGTCCACAGACCAGGAGGGCAGGGACAAGAAGATCCTGGGAAGGGGCTGACAATGCAGGGGGGGTGGTTTTCAATATTTCATTTTTGTTTTTCCCAATATTTTGTCTTTAATAACATACACAATGGTTACTAGGCATATTAATAACAAAAGTTATTTATAAAATGCACCCAAAAGTAACATTGTTTTTCCATTTTGGTGTGAAAAGCCTGGGAATGTCCCAGAGAGGTACATATATTGAGGGGGAAGAAATAAGAATAGGGAGACACTGGTTTCCCTACAATCTGAACTCCCAAATCTCCACTTTTCACCTAGGTCCCAGCACAAGCTCTCATCAGGATCAGGGACCAGGAATGTGTGACTCTGAGCTGGGACACACCTCTGGGGAGATACAGTGTTCCACTTGCATGAATGGGGGTGGGTGGGAAAGGTTGAAAGGTGGTGGGAAGAAAAAAAACCAAACAATCCTAACCCCAAGTCTTTCACCAACAGACCTGGGGAGTAGAGGAATATGCTGGTGAGGGAACAGGATGTTAACAGACTTCCTGACTTCACTGCTGCTGGGCTGCTCATCTTCAATCTCTGAATCTGGAAGCCAGGGCTAGGGAATGGAAAAGGGCAAGGCAGACTAGAAGAGGGGGCTTTGCCCTTTCCCCTCAAAAAGTTCAGGGTCTCCCTACCACTGTCTTGACTCAGAGAGGGGCCTGGGATTCTAAAAATGACAGGAAATGATCAGAGAGGAAAAACCATTAAGAACTATATCAATATGTATCTTAATCTTTTTTTTTGAGACCAGGTCTCACTATGTAGCCCAAGTTGGCCTCAAACTTGAGATCATACTGCCTCAGCCTCCTGAGTCCTGTGATTACAGGCATGAAACACTATGCCCATCAGATTTGCAACTTTAAAAGCATTCTCTGGCTACATATATCATGGAGAACTGGCTAGAGGCAGGACAAAACAAGTGGCAGGGAAACCAATCAGGTGGCTACTGAAATAGTCTAGACCACAGGCTGGTTGCTTATAGGGCAGAGGCAGGAAAGACAGACAGAAACTGATTGAAGAAAGTTAGAAGGTAGAGCCACAAAGCTGTGTGTGTGTCGGGGTGAAGTGTCATGGAAAGAGAAGCACTAAACCAGTAATTGAGGAATGAGTGAATTTCTATGTTCCTGTCATATTGTCTTAAACCATGAAATGCCTTCCCTCTACTGTGTCCTTCCAGGCAGTTTCTTCCACAAAACTGTCTGATTTTGTCCCCTTTTTTCCTGGAGTGTTCTAGAATTTTACAACTGGGACTAAGGGCATGGCTCAGGTGGTAGAATTTTACAACTGAACATTCTTGGTTGACACAGTAGTTGAGTGGACTTACAAACTGCCTGAGGCGGGAGACTATGGTGTTAAGGCGACTTTATAACCCACCCACCTGCTCATCCACCCAGCAATTATAGAATATAGCCTGCTCCAGGACCATACTTTTAGAATTTTCCCTCAGAGTGACAATCATAAAACAGTCTGTGCTTAACAGCTCTGTAACCAATAAAACATTTGATACACGTGGGAGTTTTCGCAACCACTTTCTCCTTGGATCTTCACACAATTCTTAAAAGACCATTACTATTACATAGGAAATAATAAGCTCAGAGCTAAAGTGACATGTCCAAGGTCACACACTAAAGGAAAGGTCAGTGTCTCCTGGTTTCAAGTGGGATACTCTTTCTACCACTGTCCATGGAGTTTAAATATCCGTAAGTATCCGACAGGACTGTTAACTCTTGGAGGCAGCTAAATGCCACTTCTAGAATCCATCCCAATTCCAACTCTTAATTATTTAAAAACAAAAAAAGTGGGGAAACATGTTTATTGAGCACCTACTGTATGCCGTATGGCACCTAGCGTTGGGGATACCACAATGAACAGGGTAAAAGTGTCTGCTCTCAGTCTGGTTCAGAGAGCCAATCAAACAAGGACACAGATGTAGGAATAATACAAAAGGAAAAAAGGCAACACAAATTAAAATACATATATATTTAAAAGACAAATGAAAGGAAAAAAAAAAAAAAGCATTCAGTACTGAGTGCGCACAGGGCAGCTCCTAGACCCCCTGGGCCACCAGACTGGGAAGTGGACAGTTCCCGGCCTCTCAGGCCACCACCACTAGAGGGCGCCGCGGGCCTTCCCACCCCAGTGCCGGGGCCCCAGGCACTGCCAAATTGACTTAACGGTCAAGACCAAGACGCCCTAGGCAGAGTTCAAGGGCAGCGATGGGAAGCCCTAAGGAATGGCAGAGCGCACTAGAGCCCTCAAGGAGACAGCGTCCTCGGGATCACAAGCCCTGCCAGAAGTAGAAACCCAAGCTCCCTCGGGGAGAGCCCGCTTCCGGCGTCTTCACACCAGGAAGTACTACTGCGTCCAATCCTGACTCTTCTTTTCACGTAGTCTTCGAGTCCCTCCCTCTCCAGGTTTGCATTGGAGCCAAGAGGGCATGGCTACCAATTAGCATTCAGAAAAAGCGCATGCGTTCTGTGGTGGCGAACTTTGACCCGGAGACAGCCTCTCGTTGTTCCTGCCTCCCTTGCTGTGAAGATGGCGCTGTCCAGGGTGTGCTGGGCTCGGGCTGCTATATGGGGTTCGGCTGTCACCCCTGGACCCGTTGTCACCCGGAGGCTGCAACTTGGTCATTCTGGCCTTGCTTGGGGAGCCCCTCGGTGAGGGACCTGGGAAGAGAAAAGCATTTTTGAAGTCCAAACCCTTCCAGTCGCTCAACTTTGCTTGCTTAATTCTCAGGGATTCTTCCGTGCCTTGGCCCGGGATTTTATTCTTCTATGCAGGACCCCTGCTAGGATCCTGGCTCCTGACCTGGACTCTCAGTGCCCCATGTTGTCTGAACTCTCCCGCGTATCCTGAGCTCATCATTCAGCCTGATTATTTTTGGGCCCAGGTTTTACCGCTACTACCTTCTTCCCACTTCGCTCTGGTCTTGGCTTTCAATTTAAATAGTCCCACAGGCCTTGCACTCTCCCTAGGCTCATACCACTTGCAGACTTTTGTGCCTGAGCTTTTCCTCGCAATCTGATAGCTCCTCTCTCCTTGACCCTGAGATCCTTCATGGATTTCAAAAGTTTCAAGTCTTGGCATTCATTCTCTGAGACTTGAATTTTACATTAGGGATCATGGATGGGAGGGACTTCTAGGACTTCTTCCCAGATAGTATCTTTGGTCTTCCTTGTAGGTCTTCAAAACTTCATCTTTCTCCAAAGGCAGATACGAAGGGCTTGATTTCTTACGTGGTGACCAAGACAAAAATGATTCATGGGAAATACCATCGTTTCTTGAGTCGTCACTTTCCTCGCTTTTATGTCCTGTATGCAGTCTTCATGAAAGGTAAAAACAAAGCTAAATGAAAATCCCTGAACCAGTTCTTGGGCAATGTCAGAGTTAGAATAAATAAGATCATTTGCAGGTTCTGTTATGGGGGTGTGAGGTGTGATGCCTTCTCTTTCACAAATGTTTTGAGCATTTAATTATTATAAACTAGGACTTATTAAAGATGTTTCTAGGAAGATGTTAGGAGAGACAAATGACAACAAACCACGCTCCTGGCTATATTAGAATCTCCTTGATCTGGACAAGGGCAGGGATCCATGGCTCTATAGACCTGCCCTGTGATTTATGCGTTGTCATGCCACATTAGAAAATGTGGTCTGCTGTTTGTTACAAATATATATTAGGTAGCATGTTGTAGTGGAAATAGCACTATGTATAATTGGTTTCTGAATGCTTTGGTTCAAATTGGAGATCTGCTTACTAAAAAATTATTTATGTATATAAACAAATGTCCACTCTGGAGCCAGACTGCATGTGCATGATTCAAATCCCAGCTTGTCACTTCCTGGTTTTGTGGTTGAACTTAACTTCTCTGTCTTTTGCATATCTTATCTGTAAAATGAACTTACCTATTAACTACGTAATTGTGAAGATGAAATAAATCAACACATGTCAAGTACTTAGAACAGTGCCCAATAAGTAAATCAACATATATAAAGTACTTAGAATAGTGCCTAATAAGTGTTTGCTATTAATATTATACTCTATGCTTTTATCATAACACTAATCGTAAGAAACTCTCACATTGTCAACCCTAAGTATTATAATTATTACTAGTTTCATGGACATGAAAAATTAACTATCCTTAATCTATAAAGTGGGGATAAGAATGGCTGCTTTGCAGAGCTAGATGTAGTGCTACAGATCTATAATCCCAGTACTCATGAAACTGAGGCAGGAGGAGTTTGGGTTTGGAGGCCAGCCTGGGCTACATAGTAAGACCCTGTCTTAAAAAAAAAAATGGGACTGGGCACCAGTGGCTCACTCCTGTAATCCTAGCCACTCAGGAAGCAGAGATCAAAGCCAGCCTGGGCAAATAGTTCAAGAGATCCTATTTCGAAAACACCCATCACAAAAAAGGACTGGTGAAGTAGTTCAAGGTGTAGGCCCTGAGTTCAAACCCCAGTACTGCAAAAAAAAAAAAAAAAAAAAGTTTGCCACATGTGGTGGCATATGCTTTCAGGCTGAGGCAGGAGAATCTTGAGTTCAAGGCTAGCCTGATCTATATAGAGCCTATCTCAAACAAAATCATCCAAAACTAACGTCCTAGATAAATGTAAGACTTTTTAGTCGGGCACCTCCAGCAGTTCATGCCTGTAATCCTAGCTACTTGGGAAGCAGAGATCAGAAGGATTGCAGTTCAAAGTCAGTCCTGGGCAAATAGTTCTCGAGAACCTATCTCAAAAAAAAAACCAAAAACCACAAAACAGGGCTGGTGGAGTGGCTCAAGTGGTAGAGCACCTGCCTGGCAAGCGTGAGTCCCTGAATTCAAACCCCAGTACCACCGTTCCCCCCCCCAGAAAAGAATTTTCATAGTGTGGAGATTTAAAATGCAATCACAGAAATATGTTGAATTACACAAGTTATAAAAGTATTCCAGAAAGGAGATAAATTAATATCTATCTGCAAAATACACAGGCTAGTTGAACAAGATTTCCTGAGGTTAGCAGTAAGGTTTGAAAACAGAGTGAGTAAAGAACCAGAAGAGGGATGCCATTCCAAATCACAGAAACCCACTTAGCTGGAAGACAGGTAATGTGTTAAGAGGGGTGGGGGATGGATAACTTGCCTTCAGAAGAGTTTCAGGTTACCTAGTTTAAAGCTTTTATATAATGTTGGGGAGGAACATATGTGTGTGCATATGAGTGAACATGGAGTAGGGAGCTGAGCCAAGATTGAACTGGGATAACATCACACTGTCCTCTAATCTGTCCTTTGAGGCAGGATTACAGATGTTATGGGCTGATGCCAAAAAGGCTAGAAGAATCAGGACAAATATGAGGAAGCACAATATAAAGTTTCATCAACTTTCATACCGGGAGATGGAGCATTTGAGACAGGTATGGGCCAGGGGCAGTTCACGGTGAGGTAATTACAATTAACCAAGAGTTCAAGTATTTTTTTCTTTCCTTTCTTGTTCACCATGGATCAAGCCTTTCTCCTTTGCTGTGAGATCAAATTATTGAATTGAATGAGGATAGCCAATTATTTGTCAGAATTTGGTTCATTCAGAATTGTAGCCCTCGTAGCAAAGACCCATAGAGTTTCTGGTACACTTTCTGAATAAAAATTCAGAAAGCACTAAATTCAGTAAGCACTAAAATCTAGATTGTTTCTGAGCATTAGAAAATCTGCCAGGAGCCATAGGACAGCAGGAAAGTAGTATTTGGCGGTGACTTGATGAGCAAGTTTGAAGCTGAGAGTAGGAATCTAGGATCGTTCTGCAGATGAAAAAGAATTCACTGGGGGATTTGATACAGTGACAGGCCCTATACTAGATATTTGGGATACAAAAGGTGAACAAATCAGAGGTTCTTTTTTCAAGGAACTTATCACCTAGAAGTAGATAGAAATAAACTTGGTCCTTTTTCTGGGTTGTAATAGAAGTTTACTGCACAGTGGGAAGAAGGGATTATCCATGGTTTTAAGAACTTACTTGGGTTAAAACTGCATCTATGTTTATTTCTGTTTAGTTCCGTCGGGATGTCACCAAGTTTCTTTTCCTAGGTATCATTTCCATCCCACCCTTTGCCAACTACCTGGTCTTCTTGCTAATGTGAGTACAGACTTGAATCTCTCTAGCATTTTGAAAATATATAGTTTTTTTTTTTTTTTGGCGGTACTGAGATTTGAACTCAGGGTCTTACACTTACTAGGCAGGTTCTCTAACACTTGAACTATGTCTCCCATCCTAGATTTTTTTGAAAATTCATTTTACTTTTTTTAAATTTTTGAATTATGTTAATAATATAATATGAGATTTCATTGTGATAATTCCATGGATATGTTCTAAATTAAAAATTATTCTAAGAAGCATTTTCATTCCAGAAACTAGACAGAGGTTATGAAACTTCATGCTCTAATCTCCTTATCCCAAGGTTCATAAAAACCACTAAGTAACATCTCAGTTGCTTACATATCACAGTGGTTGATGTAGGTGGCCTAGCTGCCCTGGGTGATATTAAGTAAGATTATTATCTTCGCATCAGCATTTCACTCCCTGAGAGGCGTAACAATTAGGACACATTTTTTTCTTCAGGAAAATAATGAATCACACACACACACACACACACATATATATATACATATATATATATATATATATATATATATATATGTGTGTATTTTTTTTTTTTTCCTCTTTTGGCAGCACTGGGGTTTGAACTCAGTTCCTCAGGCTTGTTAGGCAGGTGCTCTACTGCTTGAGCCACACCTCCAGCCCCTGCATTTCATATTCTCATATCGTCTCTTTATTACTTCATTTCCAAAGATGATACTTCTAATAGCTTGCATTTTGTTCTAATTGTCTGTTGTTGTGAACAAACAAACTTAGAGCTTAATGCCTTAAAATAGCCACTGCTTTTATGATTTTGTGGTTAAGAATTTGGAGAGGAAGCCAGGAGCTGCTGGCTCATGCCTGTAATCCTAACTTGAGAGGATCATGACTCAAGGCCAGTCCAGACAAATATTTCGCAAGACCCCCCCATCTCCAAAATAACCAGAACAAAAATGAATTGGAAACATAGCTCAAGCAGTAGAGTATTTGCTTTATAAACATGAAGCCCTGAGTTCAAACCCCAGTCCCACCAAAATAAATAAATAAATAAAATAGTTTAGGCAGGACTCAGGCAGGTAATTGGTTTTTCTCTTCTGTGTGATGTTGATTGAGGTTCCTTGGTGACATTTAGCTGGTGAACAGACCAATCTGGAGCATCCAAAGTCACTTTATTTTTACTTTTTTTCTGAGACAGAGTCTTATTTGTTCAGCCCAGTCAGACCTCGAACTTATAATCCTCCTACTTCTGCCTCCCAAGTACCGGGACTATAGGTGTGTACCACACTCAGGTCAGGTCTGAGATCACTCTTATATCTGGTACCTTGGCAGGCATGGATGGAAGACTAGAACTGTCAACTGGAGTGCCTACATAGGGTCTTTTCAGTATGGAAGCCTTGTCAGGGCTCCAAGAGTGAGCGTTATAGTGAATGAGAGTATGTATGACCTTTGATAGCCTTGTCTAGGGGTCATAGACTCCTGCTCTATTCTATTGGCTGAATCAGCCACCCAGATTGAAAACAAGGGAGGGACATAAAGTCATCTGTCCATAAAAGTAGTGCTAGAGAATTTTTGGCCATGTTTTGTAATTACCACATATGTGGATAGATGAATTAAAAAACAAATCTGCTTTTTCTATATAGTATACATAGAGGGACTGTGCTACAGGTAGGTTGTCAACATCACAGACAGTGTCCAACTCTGTCTGCAACCCTGCCTAAAGCATGTTCTTCACATGCTTTTGTTCAAAAGAAGAGTCATTTTGTCTGATTGCTGCGTGCCAGGCTGTTTTACTACTGCTTCCTCTCATATCAAATTTCAGTCATATTTCTTGAAATTGTGTTTCAGTGTGTCTTTAAAGCTCATTTTACTCATTTAAGTATAAGAATATTGAGGTAGAGAAATAGTGTCTTCATCCCTTATTTATTTATTTATATTTTTGGCAGTACTGGGATTTGATCTCAGGGCTTTGCACTTGCTAGGCACCTGCTCTGCCACTGAGCTACATCTCAGGCCCCTCCATCCCTTTTTCCTAGTATCCATGTCTGCCAAATGTTTGCTTAACCCTCTTTGAAAGGTGCCAGTTTCTGCAAGTGACTTTGTGATTCTGTTTCCTTTTAGGTACCTGTTTCCCAGGCAACTATTAATCAAGCATTTCTGGACCCCCAAACAACAAATTGATTTCTTAGATATCTATGATGCTGCCCGGAAGCAGTCCCACCCAGAAATCATTAGCTATTTAGAAAGGGCCATCCCTCTTACTTCTGATACAGGGCTTCGGTGGCATCTGACAGACCTATGCACCAAGGTATTCCTCTAGTTAACCCTTCCTGGAAACTAGGGATCTTGTTAGGTCCAAGGTGCACTGAAACTAGGTTAAGAGGGCTAATATCTACCTTGCTAATATCTACCAATTCTTACCTCTCCCAAGATACAGAATGGTGTCCACCCAGCAGTACATGAAATCCTGGCTCTCAGAGAGTGTTTTGGTAACCCTCCTCTGGGCATGAACCAACTCCAGGCTTTGCAAATGGTGAGCACTTTGAGGCCTTCTCTTTTCCTCAGCTTCCCCTTATTTTAGACCTTTGCTTAAGGCAATACTGTTTGATTTTCTTATCCTCCTGTGTGACAGAAAGCCTTGAGCCGGGCCATGCTTCTCACACCTTACCTGCCTCCTCCCTTGTTAAGACATCGCTTGAAGGTTCATACCACTGTGATTCACCAGCTGGACAGGGCTCTAGCAAAGCTGGGGATCGGCCAGCTGACTGATCAGGAAGTGAAATCGGTAAGGCCTTGATTATAATATCAAACCATATCCCACAGTGGACTGGAAGCCTACAGAGATCCTTATCTTGTTTGTTATATCAAAACCCAGGCTCTTCTCTCACCTTATTTGTGTCTTTTTTCTCAATGTAATTAACTAGTGGGAATGATTTGCCCACAGTGATTTTGGTTTCTTTTCTACTGGTAATTCAAAAACCTAGGACACTGAGCTGGGTGTGGTGACACACAGCTCTACTCCTAGCACTTGGGAGATGGAGGGAGGCTGAAGCAGGAGGATCAAAAGTCCTAGATCAGCTTAGGGTACATAATGAGTCCTTATTTCAAAATGAGACAATGACAGCAACCACAATAAGAAAACCAAGGACACCGTACTTTAAGTCTACTGTTTTAGTTTGGATAGGTATGTTAGTTTTCCATTACTGTAACAAATACCTGAGATAATTAGCTTAAAAAGAGGAAAGGTATATTTGGCTCACAGTTTTTTGGAGATTTCAGTTATGATCATCTTGGCCCACTGGTTTTGGTCCTGTGGTAAGGCAGCACATCCTGGCAGGGAGTATGTGGTAAAGCAGAGCTGCTCACTTCATAACAACTGAAAAGTAAGTGACAAGAAGAGGAAGGGGCTGCTGTCCTACAATACCCTTCAAAGACTTGCCCACAGTGACCAGAAGACCTCTCAGTAGGCCCTACCTCTTCAGGTTTTCACCACTTTCCATTAGCACCAAGGAAGGACCTAAGCCTTTTGTTTTTCTCAATACTGGGGACAGTATTCAAGGACTTGTGCATGCTAGGCAAGCACTGTACCACTGAGGTACATCCTTGGCTCAAGACTAAGCCTTTAACACATGGTCCTTTGCATATCATTTCAGATCCAAACTATAGCAGTAGGCCTGTTTGCCTCTCACCCATCAGTTCAAATTCCCATGATGAAAAGTTTCTTACAGGGGTGAGGTTGTAACTTATTTAAAGGAGATTTAGGGCTCGGTATGGTGGGGCATAATCTGTAATCTCAGTGTTTAGGAGGCTGAGATGGAAGAATTGTGAGTTTGGGGGCAGCCTGAGCTACAAATAGTGAGAAACCTCCTCAAAAAAACAAGTTAGGAAAAAAAGATTTAGGAATACTTGTGGATTTCCATCTCCTGGTGTTCTCTGATTATTAAGGACATTTCTTTTCTGAGTGGTACAGGCTTGTTATCTTCGTGGGCTGAATTCTGCCCACATTGCTGAAGACAGGTGTAGAACGTGGCTGGGAGAATGGCTACAGATTTCTTGTAGCCTGAAAGGTAAGACAGATTTCTGTGGTTATTCTCCTGAAATTCAAATAACTTTTTATTTTGTTCTGAGATTATTTTTGGAGTCATTGAGTACTTGTGACACCTTTCTCTAACATGTATGTCTAATTGAAAGGGCACAAACTATACTCCTTCTCCATGCCTAGGCAGGTAGTAGACTGTAAAACAAGAGGGTGTGCATACTAATTTGAAGCAGTTAATCAGCGTTGGAATTGTTGATGTTTTGTTGTAGAGGGCTATCTTGTGTACCACAGGATATTAGTAATATACCTGCCCTCTGTCCACTAGATGCGAGGAGTACCACTTTGCCCTCAGTTGTGACAACCAATATATCTCTGGACATTGTTAAATGTCTAGAGGTGAAGGAGGAGGGGAGAAGGGCAGAATTGTCCCAGTTGAGAAGTATTGGTCTAAAGGCATTAAAACAAAACTACTCTACTGGCGAAACAAAATGTATCTGAGAATGGGTACTAGGTCTGCCAGTCTCCTGTTTGGAACCTTTGGTTAGGTCTTAATGTTTTCTAGGCCTGTGCATATCAGGGAGGGCTACTAATCTTGAAGCTGAGAAATGTCCTTATGGCACCAACATCTACCAGAGGAATCCAAATGTGACATTGGTTTTATTACTATTACCAACCTCTGAATTTTCTACCACCATTATGTGAAAACCAAGAAATGGAGATGAGTTGCTATGGACATATAGTGGAAACTAAGGAAAGCATGCTTGCAGGGCTGGAGTGAAGCAGGGGAACTTTGAGAACAATAGCCTCTAATGCCGTAGCTCCCTCTACTTGGCTTCCTGCCTCCACTTTCAAGACCTGTGCACCAAGGCAGTTAGAAGGCAAATTGTTCCCTAGACAAACCACTAATATTGATGGTGTTTTCAGAAGCTGAGCTGTCCCTAGTGCTGCACAACGTGGTCCTGCTTTCCACCAACTACCTTGGGACAAGGCGCTGAGTGAACCATGGAGTGGACGGCATTGTCTGCAGTCGCACAGTATAGCAGTGTGGGACCAAACAGCGCCTGTCAGCAGGCTGTGTGCACTGTTAGGTGTGGGACAGAGGAGCATGTGCCATGGGCCTCACAGCACATACCCACGTGGGGACTACAAACATTCCCATCACAGCTTGAACTAAAACAAACTCTCTTCCCAGGGGGGCCCATGTGAGGTGTCACTTATCTCCCGCACCTAAGCTAGAGAAGCAGCCTCTGAACTTGGCTTTTCCTGTAATGTGTTAGGTCCTATGAAGTCAGATTTTGCCGGGGGTGGAAATCACTTGGCCTAAGATTCCTTGACTGCCATGGGGTTTTTGTTTGTTTTTGAGACAAGTTCTGTTTCCGAGGTTGTCCTTGAACTCCTGGGTTCAAGGACTCTTCCCACCTCAGCCTCATGAGTCGCTGGCTACAGATGTGCTCCACCGCACCTGGTTTAACTGCCATGCTCTTCACAGCAGAGGGGTTTTGGTTTTTTTGTTCAGGAATTCCTGGCTGGTGAAAACAGCAGTACTTAGACTGGAGCATTACATTCTTGCGTGTACTCCAGTGCTCTTTCCCATCCTTTCTGCTATGACCAAAAATAGCAATTTTTTTTGTCCTCCTCTCCTGCCATGAACTTTCCTTTTAAAATCCTTTGAACATTCTGACCTTTTTTTGTTTTTAAAGGAATAACATAAGGGAACATTGTAAAGAAAAGAGAAAAAGGAAGTACTAATTGACCCCTTCCCCAGTGTTACAGCCTTCACCCCCCATTGTCTTAATTTCCAGGCTGTTGTACAGGCCCTGTGGATCTTAAAATCATTGCTACGTCCACTGTATTGCAGCAGTCCAACTGCAACCAACAGTGGCTGCCTTCTTTGGGTCGTGGGTCAAAACCAATAAGGTACTAATTATTGCCCAGCCCTGGGAGACCAGGAGACATCTGCACCAAGATAGTAAGTTGGGTTTAGCTTTTGTGTATATATCTAAGATCTGTAGTTTTGTAATAACTTACTGTAAATGCATGAAGCACTGTTTTTAAACCCAAGTAAAGACTGCCTGAAACCAATTGATGGAGATTACTTATGCACTCTCTAATAATTTTCCTAAGACTCCTTTTATAACACTGGCATAACCTAACTAATGGGGGTATGATGGGTTGGAAATTTTTTTTTTTTTGGTCAGATTGAGGTCTAAACTTAAAGCTTTACACTTGCAAGGCAGGTGCTGTACGGCTTGAGCCACACCTATAGTCCATTTTTGATCTGGTTATCTGGGAGATGGGTGTTTTGCAAACTATTTGCCCAAACTGGTCTGGAATTGCAATCCTCCCAATTTCAGCCTCCCAGAGTTTGGCTCAGAATAGAACCTTCTGATGGGATGGAAGCAAGTTCTGAAGGAACCAATTTGAAGTGATCTTCGAGTGGACATTTTAAGGTGGTAACTGGGAATAGAGAACAATGGGACTACAGAGGGCAAAAGTCTAAGTGCAAGAACAAGCTTGCTTCCATTGAAGAGGTAGGTACATAAGGGGACCTGAGGCAAGCAGACTCTTGGTGCTCCAAAGAGAATATTCTGTATTTCCATTACAAAATATTTTTATTGTTAACATTAATTCCTGACTGACCTAATTAGTTTTATAAACAAAGCTGGAGAAGCATCCTGTAATAAGTAACTAATTGCAGTCTGCTAAGATAAAGAATAACGCACCATTCTTTTGAATATTTCTTTAATATTACATTTAAATATTCTCTTTAAATACAGCATTATCACAATGTAAAGAACCTAAAGGGGGAAAAACTTTTCAGAGAACCAGACAAGCTTTGGATTCACATTGAAAATACTACCTGTGTACAGTATGTGAGAAAGGAAACTGGCAAATAATAAAGAGCTGTGGTAATGAGTCATTTATTTTACCTAGGCCTAGACTGAGTGGGGCTGAAGTGATCTGCTTCTATGATCAGAGGCCTTCCTTTCCTAGCAACTATGAGCTATAGTTTTGTCCAGCTCAGATAGCACCAGAAATGTGATTGACTAAGTTGTAGAAAAGGCCCTTTGCTTGGTAATAGTTAATGCTAAATGTTAATATTTAGCATTCAGAAGTTAGAAGTTTGGGGTATGAGTCAGAATTGTAGAGTTAATAAAGGGATGGACTTAGATTAAGAAACTAGAATTTTGCAGAAATATCAAATATCTTGGGGTTGGAAATGACTTTAGTAATTAAAATTTTTAATTCCTATAATCATATGCATTATGAAAAGCTAACGTATTTCTTAATGAGCATTTGGAATCTATGTCCTAAATTAAGCTCTAGCCTTCCTAAGGAGGGAATGTGCAGAGTTCCCCATCTAACAAACTTTCAAGAAGATTCTTCTTTCCATAGAGCTGACTTCCCAATTAAGCTTAACTGTTGTGTTTGAGGGTTCCAATCTAGATGAGGAAGTATAGTAGCTTGGTTTGGAGTAGCATCTAGATCTTAGGTACTTAAGATTCAACTTTTGAGAGGCTAGGGGACAGGGAGAGATGAGCTCTTAAGTGTACTTAAGAACTCCTCTCCTCCAAACATAAAGCTAAGCAAAATCAGGAATGAAGAGGACAGGCAGAATGGATTAAAACCTGTATGTAAATTAAGTTTAAGGCCCTTCAGGCTCAGAGTTTTTGTAGGTGAAATGCTGCTGCCACATACATGAAGTTCACTTTAAGACGCCAGGGCCTTTACTATCCCACCAAAGCAACAACAACCAAAAAAACCCCAAAAAACTTGCTTGCTTTTTTTCTTTCCTGGTTAATAAATCATACCGGAAATGAAAGATGATATAAAGGATGCTAGAGAAGAATAGTGTTTTGTTTCCTACCATCTCTACTTTAAAACAGGCAAAGATGACTTTGCCAATAAAAAAAAATCAGTAGTGTTCAATGGAGCCAATCTTGGAACATAAGCTGGGCGTGAGAGGAACAGGAACCACTGACAGGTAAGAACTGAATGTGAGTCCCATTTTATACATCTCAAAGATTAAAATCAGATAATGAATCCTTTTGAACGTGGGAGTGTATGTGGCATTTAAGATTTGGTTTGGCTTCCAATTTTTATAAATCATCAGGATGGAGGTATTCGATAAGCATTTGCAATTCTTAGGGTTGGACTGGACTAGATAAGTACTCTAACCCTGTATGTTCAAGAGGGACTACAAAGATGGACATGGGGGAAAAAAAAAACTAGTTGGTGACCTTAGATTGCCACATCTTATATTCCATTTAAAGAAGGGTGAAAAAGCAAGCATGACATAAAGTCATCTTTCCAGACTGCAGGCAGTTCTTGTGGCCTCCTTTGGACATAGTTAATGCTTCCTATTGTTCTCCTGTGGGATGGATGAGTCCTGCCTGCAACTGCCAACCAGAGCTAGTATTAGGCACATGCAGAAGTTTCAGACTCTCTACCACATCCCCAGCCAAGCTAGTTCTTTTTCTTCAAAGGAAAAAGGATGGAGGAAAAGAACACAGACTTAACTCTAGTACCTAAGAACATGTGAGAAACAATTCAAGTTACAGACCAGGAATCCCCAGTGTGGGGAGCAGGTCAGAGAACATCAAACATGTCAAATATTAACTTATTTACCAAATAGGCAGGTTAAATTTTTAGAAATCCTGGAGGTTTTGTACAGGAACAGACTCTTCCACCTCTTCTCTGTAGATTCAACCAGGTGACCTTTCCAACTGTATGACTATGATACACCAAGACGGGGTATCAGAATAACGACTGAGAGAATGAACTTGTACCCTGCCTGGAGCCCAGGAGAGAAGGGGCTTTGCCAGGCAAATTCCTGTTCTGGTCCCTATGTAAAGAACAGCTGCTTGAATTCCTCAGCTCCTCCTGTGAGATCTGTATCTTTGTTCTGATGGTCCAGAAAGCTCATTCAGCACTGTGCGGCCTCCTCTTAGACACTACCCCCACATGAAGCTGGGCCTGGTCTCCTTGGTACTGTTTCCCTTTTAAAAAATACTTGTACAAACAATCTTTTCCCACCCAATCCCCAGACCCCAATAAAATACCATGGGAGCAGCAGCTGCTTCTACAGTCTTGTTTTGAAATGGCATTAGATAAAATAAGGGAATAAATAGAGAATGGGCAAGAGGCAGCATCTCCACTCGCACATCACACTGCCAGGGGGAGTTCTAGGGCAGAATCTTCTGGGGGCCGGTCCTCACTCTGCTGAGAGCTCTTCTCCACCCCACAGCCCTCTTCAATGTCCGTGCGGAAGGGGAGGCTTGAGGGAGACCAAGAGGGTCGGAAGTCTTCATTCTCGGGCTCCTCAGGGTCACAGTCGTCGGGCAAGAGCGCTTCTAGAGTGGGTGCTTTCCCTACCTCTTGTTTACAGGGGGCCACTGGGTCTGTGGGGCTGCAAGCCACCAGTGAGGTAACAGGGAGGGAGAAGACACTTACATCCTTCTCCTTAGGGAAGGAGGCTGTGCCTTCTTCTGTAGCAGGCTCTCCTTTCACTCCCAAGACTGGCCTCTGCTCCACCTGGTAGTAGACCAGGGACCCGCTGTTCAAGTACGATGGGCTGTTCACCGTGGAGGCAGAGGGGTGGTCCGAGTTCTCGGCAAAACACAAGACGGAGGAGCCTGGGGGCAGCTGAGCCTGGATGAGAATGGGGGCTGTGAGGCCTGGGCACAGCTCTTCGGGCACAGCCAGGGGCTCCTCCAGGATGCACACGCCCAGGCTCTCGATGCTCGAGTCCAGGCTGGCGCTAGAACCGCTGGAGTCTTCCTCGGCCTTGAGCCGCTCCAGTTCCTCTGCGCTCTGCAGGTGCATCACTGCCGTCTCGTTCTCAGCAATGAACTCCTGAAAGTCCTGCGTCTCCGAGCCCTGAGCTCCCGTCAGGCTGCAACTGGCCGTGGGCGAGGGCTCCTCCTCAGGGGCTGCCGGGCGGCTCACCTGCCGCTTGCTCTCTAGCTCCAGCTTCATGATGGTGTGGAGGTAGTGAGTCCGGACGCGGATGGGATTAAATTCAATGCGCCCAGCCATGTTCCCACAGCCATCCCTGGAGCAGCCACACGGAAAGGACATGCGATCCACCTAGGGGAGCACCAGGAGGGTGAGGCGTGATAAGACCAACAAATCTAACAATGGAGACAGGAGACATTAGCTAGTAAACGCAGGCAGTTGGGATTTGGGGACTTCTTAAAATAAGAAGCAACCAATTCAAAATATGACAAGCACTAGACTGTTGCTATCAGACCACTTGCGACTGAACTCCAGCTCAGCCACTAATTAGTGGTGTGACCTCAAGAGAATCATTTATTTCTCCTCAGGGCTTTGTTTCCTCTTCTAAATAAAAAGTAGACAAAAATCACATCAGAGGCTCCTTCCAGTTAGTAAGTTCAGAGATACTTCTCTAAATGCTTTGAGGAGAAGAAATTTACATGCCTCAGGTACGTCTAGGACTTACCTGGTTCACTGAGACAACAAAAGGCTGGGCCCAAGCCTGCAGCCTTGTTCAGTGACAGGCATGGGAAAGTGAGTGGATAATCCTGCTAGTCCAAAGCAGTAAATTCTGGGAAGCCAAACAAAGGTGCCTTAGTTCGCTAAGGTGTTAGAATGAAGATTCAAACAATGGCCAGCTTTTCACTACCCTTCTTTGTTTTTCCCTAAGGGTTGGGCAGTTGAGTTCTGAAGCAGGTACCCAGACTCACAGACTAGGGAGAGCTGGAAAGGATATGCTTTCTACCTCTGTACTGTCCCTTCATGTCCAAAAGGAAAGCGACAACAAAACACACACCAAAAGATAGAATTAAAAATAACACAAGTAAGCAAATAAGTATGTATAAATACAAATGTCTTCCTATGACATCAACTTACAGAAGTCTCCCCTCCAGGCCCACCAACTCTGGGAATTAACAGACTGATTTGTTACGAGAATATAAGTTGCCCATACATTTCATTCTCCAGGATAGGACTAGCACTTTTCATTGAAATGTATCTTCCAAACTGTCCCCTGTCAGAAGGCTGACAAGAGGATTAGCCTTTCTTTCAAAAAAACTTAAGGATTTAAGTTTTGCCAGCCCAGGTCTGATCCTGAATTACAGGGTCTCAAAGCCATTTTGAGTTTTACAAAATTGGAGCAGAGGTACTGTAAGTGTTTGGAGATAGAATCCACAGGCCCATTTCATTTCTCTTTTACCTCAAGGAACCTGTCAGTAGCTAAGAAACAGTTACTTAATGGTAAACATACGAACCCTGTTCTCCCTTATGCTAACAGCTGCTTCTTATCACCTCCAAGGTATGAAACACAGAAAAGAATTGGTACCTCCACAGCCTAAGAATCTTGTCATGCTTGGTTTTTCTGTTGGCTGAGGAGCGTTGTGGAACTGGGGTGTGTTCAAAGCCATGGGGCCTCTATCCCTGGATAGGCAGCCTTCCATTTTTATTGGCACTTGCACCACACCCCCCCTGTGATGCAGACACACTATCACAGACCAATTATGACTGACCTGGCATTTAATCCCAGCCTGGCTACAGGCACATGCTTCTGGGTCACAATACAGCCGACAGTCACATCCACACTCTTCCCGAGACAGCCGGATGGCTCGAAGTTCTTGCTTTTCTTCAGCATCAATGCGGTGGACCCCAGAAGCCCTCAGCAGGGCCCGTCGCCGTTTGGTAGGCAGAGGCTGAAGGAAGAAGTAATCATCTACTTCCACGTTTTCCACGTCAATATCTTCATCTGAAACATCATCTAGTGTCAGGCCATCAGCCTCCACTGACTCCACTGTCCCATTCTTGGTCAGCTGCCAAGAGACAAAGGTCAGCCCCTGAGTGTTAGCAACATAAGCTTCCTCACAGTGCTCGGACTGCAGTGATGGCCATCCCACACAGCAGCTAAGCACTAGAAATGTAAAGGTCGAGAAACTAAGCTTTAAATTTTATTTTAAATTTAAATTTAAATAGGTGACTGGTAGCTACCATATTGGATGGCACAGATCAAAATAATAAAACAAGAATAAGCAGACAAGAATCTTATGGGGGTTCTACTATCATCCTGTCAACACAATAGACATAATCTTTCTGGGTTTTGAAACCCATCCCAAAACCCATCTCAGCCAGATGTGACACACATGTGTAATCCCAGCTATTTGGGAGGCCAAGGCAGTGGGTCTGGGCAACAGAGGGAGATCCCACATAAAATTTGTTTTAAAACCCTGTCTCAACTTCCCTCCTAGAAGATAGCTTATTTTCATAAACATTCCCTCCATTCCCAGATGTGTTCCCTATCTTTGGCTCGCCTGCTTTCTAACACAGGGAAGAGAAGGTACATCAATGACAGGATGTTCCTGGGATATGTAACCCTGTAAAACACCCTTCAACTTGTAACTCAAAGAACCTAAAACTACCTTCAGGGGAAAAGGGTACAGTATAGTACCAGCCTACCGAATCAGTGAACCTGAATCCTCACAGTGTGAACAATTATCTATGTGTGCCCAAAGAACTGTATTTTATTGGTAGGAAGAAAAAAAAAAAAAGGCAAATTGAACAGCTATCAAAGAAAGCCCTCACTTCTATTCTCCCCCAAAATTGTATTCTTTCTTCTCTCAAATCCTTTACTTGACTTCAAAGAAAAGCTCCATTCAAGGGAGGGGGATATAAATAAGACAGAGTACTATCTGTGGGCAGGAATCTGGGTTTTCTGGGCTGATAGCTAGAAAGCCAGTAAAGGGAATCTGTGGCAGGACAGTCTGAAGACAATCTGTGTCTGAATGAGTTCTGCAAACTCACTAGAGAATCCAAGTAAAGAAAATGAGGCCTTGCAGTCCCTGGGGCTCTGGACGATGCTAGCAGGATGAAAGCCAAATGACTGGAGTCTTTGGTTTATTTCATCAGACAGCAGAGTAGTGCTGGGAAAGGAAGAACTCCTGTGAGAGATGTGATGCAACACACCTGAGCAGTCCCCTCCACCCATGGTTGGTTGGTTTGTGTGGGGGGGGACTGGAGACAGACGTGAAAGGGGCTTTTGTGGGTCCCCAGTCTCTTATTTCTGTACCAGGCAGGCAGGTACAAGATGCCCTTCTGTAGACCTTAGGATTGCTCCTGTCTGTGTCACCAGCGTTGGCCTCCTCCTAAGCACCCCTCCTGCTATCTGCTATCATCTCAAAAGAATGAGATTAGAGATGCAATAGAAGGAAACCCATGTAGATAAGAGAATTGAACATGACAGACGGCATTTCGAATCAGTGAGAGGTCTGCTAGTCTAGTCATCGGGACAACTGGACATTCTTGGGGAAAGAAAAGTTTAGACTCCTAATTCATACCATTTATGATCATGAATTCCATATGGATAAACCCCAAAATACAAACAAAATTAAAATATTAGAAAAAGTAGAAGTAATGAAAGCTGCAGAGCACTAAACAGCAAATGGAATAGCACAAAAGGAAAGCAAACATTAGTTGGCACGAAAGATTTTACACCCCCTCCCTGCCAAAATGCTTCCCTTATGGAGTGCTAAAGACAGAATTTTTTAAATTTAATTTTTGTTTTGATTTGTTTTTTGACTATAGTTTAAGGAAAGTTTTTAAGAAAAGTGTGTAAAATAGCCTGGTGCATTGGCTTGTGCCTGCAATCCCATCTACTTGGGATATGGAGGTCAGGAGAATTGTGGTTTGAGGCCAGCCCCAGCAAAAAGTTTGAGACTGCCATCTCAACCAATAAAAGCTGGGTGTGGTAGTACACATTGGTAATCCTGTGGGAGGCATAAGTAGGAAGATATCAGTCTGAGGCTGACCCCAGGCAAAAATGAGATACCCTATCTAAAAAATAACCTAAAGCAAAAAGGGTCTGGGGATGTTGCTCAAGTGGTAAGAGTACCTACCTAACAAGCATAAGGCTCTGAGTTCAAACCCTAGTACTGGGGAACAAAAGAACAAAAACAAAACAAAAAAAGAAGAGTAAGTGACCTGGAAAAGTAAAACAAGGGTTTTCTCCTGCTATCAAGATGTATCAGAGCCAGGCGCTGGTGGTTCATACCCATAATCCTAGCTGCTCAGCAGGTGGACATCAGAACGATCTTGGTTTGAAGACAGCCTAGGCAAATAATTTGTGAGACTCTATCGAAAATACCAAACACAAAAAGGGCTGGTGGAGTGGCTCAAGTGGTAGAGCTCCTCCCTAGCAAGGGTAAGGCCCTGAGTTCATACCCTAGTATCGCCAAAAAAAAAAAAAAAAAAAAACTGTATCAGATGCCAGCACTGCTAAGAAGTAGGAACCCTGTATTTCAGTCTTGGATTGCCTGGCTGTGTTCCTAGAATTCCTATAAGGAGGCCCACAGAATAGGATTGTATCTGTTTTTACAGATCATTCCTCTCCCAGATTTAGGAGGAGTTTTCTTCTAGAGGAAGGGAAGAATGCCTTCATTCGAATTGATGAGAAGAGTTTATTTGGCCAGCTGTTGCTATAGCAGCAGGAAGGTGACAGGGTCAGTGATGGAATTCCTCAGAAGAAAGGGAAGGCTGAATGTCATTCCAGTTAGAAAAACAGGTGTAAGGCTTTAGGAGTATGCAGAGAGCCTCAAAGAGAGAAGAATGAAATCTAGTCAGCCTACATCCTCTGCCACACTTCTCCAACTTATCTGGTGAGTTTCACCTACAACCCTGGAAATAAGGCAGCCACCTCTTTTGATAGACTCCACATATTTCAGGGCCAAAACAAACCTAGAGAGATTTTTTTTTTTCTGTGATGGGGATGGAACTTAGCACTTGTACAAACTAGGCAAGTGCTCTATCACCACTGACACCCCAGCCCTGGGGAAATTTGGGGGCACTTGAAGAAACTATGGCCATGGAATGGCAAACAGGGCTAAGATAGCAAATGAGTGGCTATAAAGAATCATCTGAGCTGGGAGTGGTGGCTCATCTCTAATTTCAGCTACTCAGGAGGTGGATATTGGAAGGACAGCAGTTCAAGGCCAGCCTGGGCAAAAAGTTAGTGAGACTGCCATGTCAACCAGTTAAAAAAAAGCTGGGTGAGGTGGTAAACACCTGTCATCCCAGCTACATGGGAAGCATAGATAGGATAACAGTCTAGGCCAGCCCTAGCATAAACTTGAGACCCTGTCTCAGAAATAACCAAAGCAAAAAGGCTGAGGGCATGGCTCAAAGTGGTAGAGCACCTGCCTAGCAAGTAAGAGGACCGGAGTACAGACCTCAGTACCACCAAAATAAAATTAAGTTAAATAAAAATAAAAATCAGGGCTATCTGCGATGGGTCTTTTCACAGTCCCTTTCTCCTAATCTGAGGAGCTGGTGCTTCAGCAGATGGCAGGCACGGTATTATGCGAATCTGAGTAACTGGGTAATGATGCTGTTGTTTGCACCAGGAAAACTAACAGTCATCTAGGAGTGATAGGGATCACAGAAAACAGTAAGCAGGACGCTTTTAGAGAATGTGAAAAATCCCAAACCTATTCCACGCAACTGAGCAAAAGAGAGTCATTTGAGAAGAAGTTAAAAATTATGCTTCCTCAGTATAATATTCATCATTAGGATGCAGCATTTACCCACTCCCCTTTTCGCTGACATGTAGGGTTTGTGGCTTTTTTTTTTTTTGGTGGCACTGGGGTTTGAACTCAGTCTTACACTTGCTAGGCAAGCTCTCTACCATCTGAGCTACTCTGCCAGTCCTGTGATGGTGTTTTGGTTTTTTTTTTTTTTTTTGAGATAGGGCCTTGCAAACTATTTGCCGGGGAGCTGGCTTCAATTCCAGTCCTCCTGGTCTCTGCCTCCTAAATAGCTAGGATTACAGCGTGAGCCACTGGTGCCTGACTGACATGTAGGTTTTGTCCCCTTTTTATTATGGCAAAACACTCCTGCAAATAACAGGCATACAGAATAACTAAATGCCTTAAATATTCTATAATATTTGAAAAGCTTAAAACTTTTTAAACTTTAAAAAAAAAAAAACTTGCTTACTTTGAATTGGAAATAAATCCTTCAAGATAGAAAAAGAAAAATATACTTTCTTGGGTTCCATGGGTGACAGACCTGAAATATTTCAAGTATTCACATTTTAAACTTAAAAAAAATGTTGGGGGAAGATAGTGGGTGAGTAGAAGGAACTCTGGAGAAGGCATTTTGCTATTCCTACTAGATACCCGCAGCAGAGATGACAAGAAGGGAGACTCAGACTGAGATTTGATTCTAAACCTGACTTATTAGAAAAACTTGGAATCTCTATACCCCAAGAACAATAGTTAAATCAAACATCAGTGCACAGGGCTGGAGGCATGGCTCAAGGGGTAGGGCATCTGCCTATCAAGGGTGAAGCCCTGAGTTCAAACCTCAGTACTGCATAAAAATAAACAAGGAAAAAAGATCAATGGACAGTCAAGCGTGGTGGTGCAACCCTGTAATCCCAGCAGGAGGATCATGAGTTTGAGGCCCCCTGGGCTATGCAGCAAGTTTCACCCAGCCTGAGATATATATAGTAAGACTCTGTCTCAAAAAAACATAAATAAGTCACCAGTGGGCCTAGATGGTTTCTGCTTTGCCTAAGCATCTGGGAAATACTAGACCCCTCAGTCACCTTCATTTTCTTGGCATGGAGTTTCTCCTCTTTCAGGTGCTCACGCAGAATCTCTCGATGGTTCACCTCCTGCTCTTGTGCAAACTCACAGAGCGTGTAGCTGCGTACAGAGTTATGGCGCTGGGCCATGCCCAGAGAGCTACCACCCTGGCTGGGCACACTGGTGAAACCCTGGCGCCGGGCAAAGTAGTATACAGTCACCTGGTCAAAGCGTACATTCTTCCTCCGTAGCTGCTTCTGCCGCTTCAGGATGGATGTGGCTGAGAAGGGAGCACAGACAAGGGGGTTAACCCGGAAAGCCCTGCTGAGGGCACTCGCCCTTTCTCACCCAGCTAGGCCCTTAACTCTTCTTTCCAAATGTCCTCCTTGAACCCAGAGAACTTTCTAATTATTTTCAAATCGTAAAGGCACAGTTGGAAGGGGCTTGAACCTCAGCTGGTTCATACCACTGCCTCCAGACTGACTTCACCTAAATAGATGACCACAAAGTCTATTTTTAGACAGCAGCTGGGAAGAGCATTGCTAGGTGATCTTTTCAGCCTTTAACAATCTATAGCTTCACTGACCACATGTGGCAACTTAAGTTATAAAATTTAGCTCCTCAGTTACAATGACCATATTTTGAGTGTTCAAGAGCTACATATGGCTAATGGCTACTATTGGACAAGGCAGATATGAAACATTCCCCATTTCTATCATAACAGAAAATCCTATTGGACAGTACAGATGTACAGCAGTGGAAGGCACACATTTCCCACTAAAGGGCCACACTGCAGCCATAGCATGGAAGCAATCACAATGGGTATCACTGCATTCCAATAAAACTTTGTTTACAAAAATAGGCAGACGGCCAGATTTGGCCCGTGGAGAACTCAAGATTTATATTATCAGAAGTTCTCTCCAAGATCTAAATAAGCCATAAGAATGAAGAAATCTTAGGGTAACCCAGTTGTTCAGACAGTAAGCACTTATGTCCTGCCATAGCTACAATTTCCTGAAATTCTAGGGGAGTCGGCTGAACTCCTTCAGTCTAATTCAACCCATTCTAGAGACCCACAAACCACAACACAAGTAAAAGCAGTTAGAGTAAATCAGACTTCAGTCTATGCTACTGGAGCAGTGAAGTCTTCCAGAGAGCAAGGAGAGATTATGACAAGGGCAAAGCCCCAAGCCGGCCAGAAGCTGTCTCAAGCTGTAATAGGCTCTATGCTTGGGGAGCGTGGGTGCAGACAGGGAGGAGTGGCTCACTCACGTGTGAAACTGGAGGTCGTGGAAGGATTGAGGCTGTCACAGCTGTCAGCACTGTCGCTGCTGGAGATCTCATCATCTGAGTTGGAAACTGACGAGCCCACATCCACATCATCAAACTTCCTCTTGAGACTCGAACCCGTGAACGCATCCATTGGTTTCTTGGGGAGTCCACCACGTTGGCCCCAAAGCCCCTGCTTACCACCAGCTAGCCAGGTACATTAGGATTCTGCCCAGGGGAAAAGAGGAGTCAGCATTCCTATCCTAAGACAGATTCCTCCCAAGTCTACAGATACAGCTCTCTGAAGAAAGAAAGCATCTGATGTAGCACTGGCTTCTCAAGATCAGGTCATTTCTCTACTGATTCTGGCCAATAGTCTCCTATTTTTGTTTCCCTTCAGCAACCCCCCGCCGTCTCAGTCCCTATTAGAATGAGATGAGTAAAAGCAGCACCCTTCCCAGTGGAGGAAAGGCCTTGGGTTCCAATCCAGCTGGGCTTAGGCATCATTAGCCCAGGGTAACAGTTCCTGCTCTCTGATCACACAGGAGAACTCTCCAAGGGACAAACGGGAGGGACTGGGGATCAAAGGAAGAATTAGGCCTTGCCTAAGTCAAAGCTAGACCCAATTATTTTTCCCAGTGATAATACAGCCTGGCATTTCCCAAAGTGTGTATCTTAAATATACTAGTTCCATGGATTATTAATAGCGCTTACCTGAAAATAGGACTGCTGTGTCAAAATAGTTTAGAAAACTGCTCATGGCAGAACCTCTTAGAGGTTTTTAATATACTAATGAGAATGCTGAAGGCTGGGAGCAAACACAGAATGCAATGTTTCACAAGGTTATGGAACCCACTGTTTCCAAAGTATGTTAGGGGCAGATAATTGCTGGAACACACTTTGGGAGATACTGCTCCAGGCTCTCAACTTTGAAGGACATCAGCAACCAGGAAAACCCTTGACCCACATCTTCATAAGTGTAAAGTATCTCGCCAGCCTCCTAAAAAGGGCAAATTTGGTTCTAAAGAAAGGACCCGAGATTAGAATCTGCACTGGCATCAAAACCCAGAAACTGGGGCTGGGGTGTATCTCAGTGGTATAGTGCTTACCTAGTATACACAAATGCTTGCTGGGTTCCAGCCCCAGTACAACAAAAAAAACAAAAACCCAGATTCTTCCCAATCTTACACTGGCCTAATATCATCCTCTGTGAAAGGAAAACATAGCTTTACAATCCCTACCCTCTGAAAAGAAACCAGCAAGAGAAAAACAGACAGCAGACGTGACAATTTATTCTGTTTATATCAATATGGCAGGCAGTGTTTTCAACATGCTGTCACACGACCAAAGAGTCTAAGAATTTATTTCCCAGGTTCAAGTCTTTCTCCTTCTCTGTCTTTAGACTTAAGTTCCAGAAGGACATGAATCTGCTCAGGAGAAACGCTGTCAAGAGCCAAAACCACGTGTGATGAGGTATGAAGCCTCCCTTGCTTTGCCTCAGTAATGCCAGAATCTCCCCAGACTATGATCTCACTAGTTGCTAATTATGCAGCAGGAATAACAACACTGCCCAGAACGACAGGGCTGCATTACTGCAGAGCAGCTACCCAGAATATACTGTGGTGGCAAGAGATGTCTGCTACAGAGCTGTTTTTCTGGACTGTGTCTCTTGGAAGCAATTCAGATCAGCTATACAAAGTCAACCAGACCTAATAAGTACTTTAGAGAAGATATTTCCTTATCTATCTACTCAGATCTTGCATTCAAGTCACATTCTGCATTCAAGATGTTCCCTAAGAAAACCCAGCTATCACCGGTCTCAGCCAATCGTGCTCCTCAAATAAATCTGGCCAGGAAGGGAAAAAAAAGTAACCAAGCACTTGATAAGAATTATAATTAAACTTAAAAATGAGTCCAAAGTACCAAAGGTCACATTCTTAGGACATGGTAACAATAGAGTGTGACAAGGATTTTGTATGGATTCAAAGACACCTTCCAGCTAACAAATTTCTCATTCCATCCTAGTACTGGGCGAAGCGCATGTGGGGGACAACCTTGTAACAGCACTCGCGTGGGTGTGATGAAGAGAGTAACGTTGACTACTGAATTTAACTTTTCCTTCCCACTTAGTAAACCCCTTATCACCCACATGACAAGTCCCTGAGCAGAAAATCTGCTTCTCAGAAACAGCTTAAGTCCCCCTTCAGTTTTAACTGAGTTCGAGTTAATGGTACTTCCTCAGCCTGGAAGCACTCAAGGATTTCTGACTGGAAGCAAATGTGTAGTCCTCTTCTTTCCTCAGGTGTCCCTTTGCTTCAGGAAGTATGGGTTTCCTTCGACTATCCCTTATTACCTGTAAACTAGGGTCTGGGCTAAAACCATCTTTATTATAAAATTCTCCACTCACTTAACACAGCTGTCCTTAAAAAGTATCCTTTCTCTTTAGGTTATTTTTTGTGCACTTGAATGTAGCAAGGATTGCTAGCTGCTTATTTCAATCTCCTCCTCCTTTTGTTCTATATCTTCCCCACTTCAACTTCTGGGATAGTGGTCTCTGGGCAATGATGGAAGTAAGCAGGAAAGAAGAAAAAAAAAAAAGATGTGAAACTTCAGGGAAAAATATTTTCCTTAAGCTATCTGAGAATAATCAAGACCTACATAGGTAAATAATGTCTATATTGACCTACGATCTAACTACTTCATTAAAAGGCGTGGTTCAGTGGTACAGAGCTTGCATAACCTGTGTGAGGCCTTGGCTTCAATGCCCAACACCACCAATATGAACAAACTAAAAATGATTTCCATTAACTTGGATGACACCGGAAAATCCTTAAGAATATTCTTCTGCTTTAGCGCTTTACCTGTTAGAATCACTTTCTCTGAAATGAACTTCATTTCTTAAATTTTTAAAATTCCATCTACCATGTCCTGACAACCAATACAAGTTTCCATTTCAATAGGGCTCTCCTTGTCAACTCTTTGATGAGAACACGACTTGTTCGAGATGGTCCTGGGCATCAAGAAAACCACCCAGGCACTCCCATGGTACACTGAAGAAGCTTTCTTTGCAACAGTAATCACTAAAACTGATTCCACTTTCCAATTCACCCAATCAATCTCCTTTCAACCAGAACTAGAAGCCAGTCATTTTCACCTTTCTAAATATTCACTGCTAGAGGATCAATGCCTGTGTTCAAGACATACACTTACAAGTTATACCCGAAGCACTGAAACGCTTATGAAAATAAAGATGAGACTTGAAACGCAGGTCATAACTGACAGTTAACTGTCAAAATGACCAACTCAAACAACAAATGCTTTTGGACAAATAATGCATCCCTCTATAAAAGCTTTTAAATGCCAGTGAGATGAAAGGTCAACTGATACTTTCTGATACTTGCCTTACGATCTTTTCTCAAGTGTTTCAAGCTGAACATTTCCCAAAGGCACACGAAATAGTTCAGATCCACAGTATATAGAAGACATTAGGCTAGTACCAAATAAAACCAGAATGTGTATTTTAGTACTAGATCTAAGGTTTTTTCAGACCTATAAAGATTTGGGTAACTACCACAACAAACCAAACACCCAGCAATATGAAAATACCAAGGAGAGCCCAGGAAAAAGTCTGTGGAAGCAGAATGTATTTCAGAAGTTTAGGTAATGTAAACCTCTTAAATAAGTCTAAAATAATAAGACAAGGGGGCTGACAGAGTGGCTGAAGTGGTATAGTGTCTGCCTAGCAAGTGTGAGGCCCTGAGTTCAAACTCCAGAACTGCCAAAAAAAACAAACCAAATAAGACAAGGTACATCTCACAGGAGAAAGCCTCTCTACTGTACTGGAACCCAATCATTAGCTAAAGGTCAAGGAACCCAAATCTCTAGGAAGATGGTCAGGGCTACCAGCTGTAGCTTGGTAAAAGCAAAGGCTAGCAACCTGAGTAAGATGGCCTCTCTGTTTCCTTTTCACAAGATACTATGCTTGCCTCTCAAAAACTATGAAATTCATGGATCCAGGCGTCTTTGTGATCCAGGACCATGAACTTAAAAAGCACTCAAGTGAAATGCTACTGCTTAAGCTAGATATTTAAAGAAAGCCCTTTCTTACCCCCACTCCCCAGTTTTTACCTATTCACTAACACAAGGTTAGAATTTGGTTTTCCATGTCTAAACTACCATCGTAGGGCAGATACAGACCCTTGTGGGGTAAGTAGAACATGATGCTGCACCGACTCTCAAGGATATTCTGTCATTTATAGCTATGGCACACACCAACGTCCTGCTTTGAAGATCTGCAAGGTGGAAAGCCAGTAAAGGAAAAGCTGAATCAACTATGGACTTACCATAAACTCCAAACTGCAGGACAAGGGGACAGTGTCATCTCTGGGGGGTAACGTCTAACCTTTCATACTGAAAAACGGTTTGTGGGTCATACTGCCACTCTAAACCCTTTTAAAAGGATGAATCAAGACCACTGCACTAAAAGGGATGGATGGCAGTAGGCTACGTGTTTGGTCCTGTGAAAAAAGATCAAGCTAGCAACCAGGGCAAGTGATGCTTTCATTTTCACACACAACGCCAGAAAAATGGGAGACATCAGGAACCGCAGCTGAAGGGACATGTCAGGTCACCAGTTCCCTTTAATGAACACTACTGCTGAATCCTTCAGCTCTCAACCCATTCCTCTCCGATTCCTGCCACTCCTTCCCGCTCATTCCAATCTTCTGCAGCCCCTACTCAGCCTTCCTCATCCCTTCCTGCCTGCTACTCACAAATTCCCAACCACTCCTCCACATTTTCCTCGATACCCCCTCCCCTTCCTTCACTTCCCTCCATCCTACATCACTCCCCACTCCATTCCGAACTCAACGCTCATCCGCAATCCTGCCGGCTTCTGAGCCGCCCATCCGTCTCCCTCGAGCTGCCCCCGCAGTCCGGGCCCGCGTCCTCGGTGCCCCTCGCTCCCACGTCTCTCCCAGCGGCGCCCTAGCTCCCCGCCCCCCGGCCGCTCCCGTCCGAGCTTCCCTCACTTCTGACCCCTCCATCCGCACGGCTTTGGGCTTGACCACTCCTCCATAGCCGCCCGAAGGCAGATCCCGAGAAAGGATGAGGCGGCACCCTCCGCCCCGCACCCCCAAGGCCCATTACCGGCCCCGCCGCAGCTGCCTCCTCCCGTGATGGTCTCTGCCGCCCCCGCTGCCGCCGTCGCCCCAGCCCGGTTGGGAAGGAAGAAGGAGAGACCGAGTACCAGGGCCCGTGGCGACGGCCGGGAAACTCCCAGGGCATCAGGGTGGGAGGGAAGGTGGGTGGGCCGGCCAACCGGCAGGCGGCGAGGAGCGGGCGGCTCGGCAACTCGGATACCCCTCGCAGCAGAAGCCCAGAACCGCCCCGGCTCCGGCTAACAATAGGCTCCGGCTGCAGCGCTCTGGCTCTTATAGGCGCTGGCACGTCCTGGCCGAGCCCCGAGGCAGGCTGGGAAATGGAGTCTACGTACCGGCCCCACGCCCAACGGCATGCCGGGAGTTGGAGGCGGCGAGTGCCGCAAAGCCGAAGCCCGCCGGCTAACAGGCTGCAAGGCGGTGTCTGCAGTGGACCCTGAGAAAGCAAATTTGGTGCAGCCACAGCATTTTGAAGGGGAAGGCAAGAGACCTTCAGCTACACGTCTTCAAAGACCAAACGAGCTCTACTCTAACGCTCCCCCTTCCTTTCGCCAGGACCACACTCCCATACCCAAGGAACATAAGCTTCCTCTCTCATTGGGATGTCTTCAGCAAAACGACTTGCTGCAGCCTGCCCAAGTTATAAAGAAAACACAAGCAGTATCTTATCTGCTTATGTTATGGACTGATTTAAGTGGCTCCTGCCCCCACACCCCCCTCCAAAAAAAAAATCTTTAACCATGGTCTTTGATCGCCACAGCTTTGTAAACCATCTCTAAGATGGAGAAAATAAAGACTAAGAAGTCAAAAGTTAGTTGAGACTTGTCTAGGGCACACAGCCTTGGTTCCTTATCTCGGGACTGTCCCTTGACCTATGAAGTATGCAAGATCTAAGGACATTCTGTGGTTCCCCCCCAACCTCCCCCTCGCAATCTGTCATCCTGATTCCTTCTACTTTGCCCTTCCCTACTTTGCTTCAACACACTGGCCCCCTTGGAGTTTCTTCAACAGGACAGCCATGCTCTTACCGCAGGTCCTTTTTGCCTGAACACTCTTCCACCAGCTACACATACTTACTCCACTTAGTATCTGCTCAAATATCTCCATAGCAGAGAGCTTCCATATATGTATACATACACATATGTATATACATACATACATATGCTATAAAATATATGTAATTAGAGACAGAGTCACAATATGTAGCCCAGGTTGACCATGAACTTTTTTTTTGTAGTACTTGGGCTTGAACTCAGGACCTACACCTTGAGCCACTTCACCAGCCCGTTTTGTAAAGGGTTTTTTTGAGATAGGGTCTCACAAACTATTTGCCCAGGCTGGCTTTGAACCATGATCCTCCTGATCTATGCCTCCCTAGTAGCTAGGATTACAGGTGTAAACCGGCACCTGGCTTGAATTCTTTATCCTACTTACCTCAGCCCCCCTGTGCTGATGCTAGCCACATTTTAAAAATAGTGCTTCTCTTTAGTCTCTGTTCCCTTGCCTTATATTTTGTAAGTGTTACCATCTGATATGTTCATTGTCTTTCTTTTCTTAGTTGGCTAAATTCCATGAGACAAAGGAATTGTTTTGTTTACTGTATTCTTAGCACCCAGTCTAAAACCTGGTAGACAACATGAATAGATGGATAGATGGCAGGATTTCAACTCAGGTTAGGCCAGTTTTTTTTTCCTTTTTGGAGGCACTGGAATTTGAACTCAGGGCCTCACACTTGCCAGGCAGGCACTTTACTGCTTAAGCCATCACTCTGCCAGTCCTTTTTTGTGATGGTTTTTATCAAGATAGGTTCTCTTGAACTATTTGCCTGGGGCTGACTTTGAACCACAATCCTCCTGATCTCTGCCTCCTGAGTAGCTAGGATTACAAGCATGAGCCACAGGCACTCAGCAGGATAGGCTAGTCCTAAATCCTACTACATTTTTCACTGCAACCAAGAAATTATGAAGCCAGATCCACTGGCTGCCAAACTCATCTTTAGGAACTGAAGAGTTGGGTGGCTTAGAAAAAAAAATGCTAAGAATTCCAGTTTTCTCCTCTAGGTGATATCAGAGACTTCAATGACTAGGAGACACTACAGCAGGGCAAAGTGAAAAAGAAAAAAATAATAACAAAAAAGCAATCCTTAAGGTATCACACACTGATCATCTCTCTACCTGCTGGAACTTAGAGGCAGTATGACATGATTCTGGAGCCAGATTGCCTGAATATAAACCCCTAACCTTCCACTCAATAATATGGTATGACCCTGGGCAAAGCTCTCTACCTTAGCTTCCTCATCTGCAAAATGGAGGCACACTATGTATTTCATGGGGTTTTGTGAAGGTTAAATAGTGATTATGTTTATAACAAAGTGCTATGTAAATGTTATTTTTAATAATAAGCTTTCTATTCAGTTATTCAAAATGCTCTATTCTTCCTGGGTATACCAAATACAGAAGAGAAGGCCCCAGCCCACTCTGTAGATCAGGAGCCCGAGTAACAATAAGACAGACTATGGGTCATGTTGAGCAGACTTAAAAATGTCTCAGCGTTCCAACGGCCCCAATGCCCAAGCTTTGTTGGTTAAAGCCATCAATCTAGAAGACAGCCAAATTGGGTAAGTTATCACAGTGGTGCCAGTTTACCCATAACTGCAATTCTGCTCCAGCCTAAGCAGGGCCTATGGAAGGTGGCGGCTGTTCAAAAAGCTCAAGGGCAGAATGGAAATAGAGCTTTTATGCCTTTGAAATAATTACAAAGAAAAGTGAGAGAAATGCTAGTATTGTGTTAATAATAACATTGGTTAAATTCTAAATGTTACTGCTTTGTTCCAGAGCATGCTACAGTATATGTACCATCTAGTTTAGAATGTGTGAATTGCAGGCAGGCAGTTAAGGGTAACAAAGTCAAAGAACAGGAAAAAAACAAGGCGAGCTGACCAAGACTAACCACTGCAAACACCAGCCACAGATGAAAGCCAAAGGCAGAGTTCATTTCCTGGGCATTGGTCTTGCAGTTATTTCCGCACATGGAGGTGATCTTATAGCCAATAGCATCCTTACTTTATTGAACAAGCAATAGGTATATTCAGTACAAAACTATTTTATAATTTTAATCTCTTCTACAGCCCTATTTATTATTTTTATTTTTTTGTGGCACTAGGGATCAAAGCTAGGACTGTGTGCTTTCTAGGCAAACTCTGCCACTGAGTATAGTGTCAACCATAGAAAGAGCAAACTTAATAAGCTCAAGGAAGTGAGAAAAACTCTGAAGTTTACAGAAACATTGAGAAAAAAAGTAACTAAATCTTTAAAAAATAAGACATTAGGACACAGGAAGGAAATAGGAATCTACAATGGTTAAAATGAAGAGTGTGTACCCCATCTTAAACAAATATATGAAAACACAGATCCACATAATAAACCAGTTACAATTCATGTCCCAAAAGATCAGAGTACAAAATAGTACATCAGTAAACAGTATTATGTTCAATAGCAAGTTCCCTTATTATTGATATGAATCCAGCTGAAAAACATCTATATACAACTTTTCAATCTCTGAATTTGAGAATGCAAATGTTAGACTTACTTTCAATTCTTAAGGTAATATTGTTGACTTTAGTTTATACCTAGGTTCAGAGGGGCTAACGAGGAAATCTGAAAGTAAAGAGGAAAGATGTAGAGAGAAAAAGGAAGCAGTGGAAACAGATGAAAGTTCAAAGTCAAAGGTTTAAACACAAGGTCATTAAAAGAAAGAAGGAGAAATAAAGTATGTAGCCAAACCAAACAAACAAACAAAACTAGGTGCTGGTGACATTGTTCATGTTAAATAGGGCATCTTTTCCATTCTACAGTGGTGGTATATTCTTTCTCATTTAAGTCTTGGAGTTGATAGAATGAAACCAAAGTTTAATCACAAACTAAAAGTAAATATTCTGGCAGAAAAGCCTTACCGTTAACTAAGAAAATACAGCAGTTATACGATTTTTTTTTCTCTTTTTTTTTGGGGGGGTGGTGGTGGTACTGGGGTTTGAACTCGGGGCGTCACAGTTACTAGGCAGGCACTCTCCACCTGAGCCATTGCACCAGTCCTTAGTTAAGAGTAGAAACAGAATAATGTTGCAGTATTAACCTCTATGAAATAGAATATAAATGATATAGCTAGGTGTGACATTTGTGCCATTTCTGTTGAAATTGGAGTTCTCATAACAGACTAGTAGAGGCCATTAAGAAATTAAATTTCTATATTATCCTGTATTAAGAACCATCCATGGCCAAGAAGCAGACAAATGATTCAGTAAAATGATAAAATGGTTCTTCAAATCAGAATTATTAGTTTTGACCAGAGGAAAAAAGAGGAAGTTTAGTCCTGACTTCAAATATTTGCATTGTAAATGTATATTACTTTCAAGACTGAATGTGGCTAATGGTGATTTGCAAGGAAATCCAAATCTCTGCAGCCGGACCTATGCAAAAGACTTTCTTAGAATACCAGGGGATAGAGTGTTTTGAGAGCACGCTTCCGTTGTGTATAAATTAGAAAAGGCTGGCTCCATTACTCCAAGCCATCTTCACTTCCCAAGTTTCCCTTGCACCTCCAGTTCAGTTCTGGTATCACACTGTGCGCATCACAAAGAACCCAGTGCCTGGCTTCCAGGAATCAGAACATCTGTCCCCTCACATAACCTTCCCTTACTCAGATCTTTGGTTGTCTTCTATTTGTTGTATTGCAGTCACTTCCAGCCAACAAGCCCATCTCCATTCTCTTCCCTTTATGAGACTGACGCTCTACCTCTTGAGTTAATGAGGCTTCGTTGTTTCTCTTCTCTTTAAACGGCTTCTTAAATTTAATCATTTATGTGGGCAAACATTCTTATTGGGCCATAATATTGGACAATCTTATTACTTAGTAGGCACAATTCATTTAGTAACTAATACTTATTAGTTAAGAGTCCTGCAATAATCCCTCCCCTTTTATTTCCCAGTAACTACCTTTTAAATATGAAGTCTTTATACAGATTTTTCTAGGTAGGCACTCTTACCACTCCATCAGCCATTCCATCAGCCCCAGATTTTTCTAGATGGAATCTATTACGCTTCAAGGGAACAGCAGAGACAACAGTAAGTCAAAAAGGATGCTATTTCACTTCTCGGAAGAGTCTAAAACCTAACCATTCTGCTTTTCAGACACTCTCATGCTAATGGAAATATTAAAGCATTTACTTTAAATATCAACTCTCACATAGTTAAGAAGATAAAAATCCAACAAATCTTGCTTCTAGTAATACATTTAGAGATATGTACAAAAAAACTCATGGAGATGCGTGTTCAAATATATTTAACTTAAATGGCATGCATAGAGAATGGCCATCTGAAAAAAAAAAAAGCAATGACATACAACTATAAATTCTAATATGGAAAGATATTCAATAAAAATGTAAAATCAAAGTTCATATTATTGCCAAACATGAGCCCATCTGATTATTTGTATATATGTGTGATATCACACATATTTGTATATATGTGTGATAAAGGAAAGTTCCTTGTAATGATTACTAACTTTTGTTTTGTTTACTTTGAGACAAGATCTCCCTATTGAAACCAAGCTGGCATCAAAGTCACAATCCTCCTGCCTCATCCTCCTGAGTGGTAGGATTATAGGCATGCACCACCATGCCCAGCACTAATGATTACCCCTTTAGTGTGGGACTAAGCAATAAAAGTTATATCCTGCTTTATTGTTAGAATTTATAATTTTGTATATGAAAAAGTTAGTTTAAATTTTTCATTTAGGGCTGGTGGAGTGGCTCAAGTGGTAGAGTGCCTGCCTACTAACTGTGAGGCCCTAGTTCAAACCTCAGTAGCAAAAAAAAAAAAAAAAAAAAAAATTTTTTTTTTTTTTTCATTTAACTCACTGGGCACTGGTAGCTCACACCTGTAATCCTAGCTACTTGGGAGGTTCAGATCAGGAAGATTGTGGTTCAAGACTAGTCCAGGCAAAGAGTTCACAGATCCCATCTCCAAAATAGTCAGGGCAAAATAGACTGGAGGCATGGTTCAAACAGTAAAGTGCCTTCTTTGCAAGTGTGAAGCCCTGAGTTCAAACCCCAGTTCCACAAAAAAATAAATAAAACTCATTTAAATGAAAGTATCAATAGTGAACATATGCAATTCTGTAAAGCAAAGGAATAATTACAATGTCCGATTCCTATACCAATTCTTACCAATTATATAGCACTGGCACAATAAATTGTCGGAGGGGGCTAAAGAAAGCCTAAGATATTTATGGCTGGGTGTGTACCTGAAGTGGTAGAGCACTTGCCTAGCAAGCACAAGTCCCCAAGTTCATACCCCAGCACTGCAAAAAATAATATATATATATATATATAGCCTAAGATAGTTTCCAGTAAGTTTAAAGATCAGTAATTTACAATGTTATATAAAGTTATTTCCATAAATGTGAAGACTACTCTAATAAAATTCTGACTTCAGGTAAAAAATTAGTAAGTATAACTTACTAATTACCATATTAATAGAATTCTATGTATCATATGCAGTACATGAAAATCACAGACACATAGATTTGGAAGGAACCTTAAAAGCCATCTAGTCCAACACTCACAACTTGCCATCCAAATACCAGCCTACGAAAGAGAGGAAAGCTGACTTCACTGAAGCTGAGCAGCAGTCCTACAGACATGCAACTAGAAAGTCACCTCAAAATGGGGACATCTGGTAATCAATCACTCACTAAAAAAGCATTTTGGCCTCACATATCAAGTTGCCTGGGTCAGTTTTAAATAAGTCATTGACTTAATTTTCTGGTTTCAAGGTTTTCAACTTGTTTCAAACCAAGAGAAATGACAATATGTTTTAGGTTGATTTTAATGAACAAAAATCTCTGTATTAAAAACATTTCAAACTTTATCAAATGCTTTAAAAACACACACAAACAAACAAATCTAAATTCAATACAGAATCTCTTAACATTATCTTTGTTCATCTCAATGTAATCAATAAGGAGATTTCTGGATAAAACTTTACATGTGAAAAAACACTTTTGCATGTGCAGGAACATAACACACACACACACACACACACACACAATCATTTATAAGGAATAACAAAAATATGTTAAGAGTGTGAATGGGAAGGAACGGATTTCTTGTAAAGCTTATATAAAAGAACACTACATGAGTAAAAGAACTTCCTATACCAAGAGAAGATGCAGAATCAGGAACGTAGGGATTACCTAACTCATTTATAAATAAATAACTTAAGAATGTCACTCAAGAACAACAAAGTTTGGGAGCTAATATAATCTAAAGTTTTTACCACCTCAAATTCTGTGCTTTTGATAAGTGATAATACTTAAAAACCATGTTGTCATTATTTTACAGTTCTTGATTTGTTTATCATTAGTGAAACGTGGTTTTTCTGTTTCAGTGCCTAAGTTCCCCTAAAAAAAGCCACAGTAAGAAACAATGATGAGCACAGGCTATACATGTGGGGTTGGTGGTATTGGATGGCAAATAATAAGGGTCAGGCAGCCTGGATTTGGATTTGGCATCACTGCTTGTGAACTGCTTGTTATTTAGCAAGCTACATAGGTACTATGTGATTTCCTCATCTTTAGTTAGTGCTTACTTCATATAGGGTTATTAAGATAATTAAGCAAGATAATCCATTTAGAGAATTTAACACACTGCCTGGTTCAATAAACATTAGCCAAAATTCCTATTAGTTGTAGTATTATAGGCGAATCAAAGAAAAATTCTATCTGTATTTCTCTTTGTTGATGAAGTTGTCAGGGACCAATTGTAGCAAAAAAGCAGAGATGAAAATATACTTGATGCAAAAGAGATTGAGGACCTCATCTTACGAATATAGATGATCACTTTTATGTTAGAAAAATTACAAGGCTTCGTATCACAGAATTCAACATCTTTCCATTAAACATCACACAATTTCATCATCACTATGCCCTACATAACCCTAACAGACATGGAGTTCCTACTTATATTCAACAACAGGGGCCAGAAGTTTAACTAAAAACGCTGCTGCAGAACTGCATGTTGGGCAGTAATCTGTGTGTGCTGCGGTATTTAGGCCAACAAAGAGGGTGGAGATTCTGCCTCAAGGGCCTGGATTCCCTCCTCCCCCACAGTCAGATGAGTCTGGTTCCTGCAGACCTTCAATCTCCATTCACGTCTCCTTCTAGAGCACAGTTTTCAAGAGGTGAAGGGCAGCCACTTGAGTGTGGAATGCCCCACTACTACTTTAGTATAATATGATAGCTATCATTGGTTTCTGCTGTAAAAAGAGAGACAGAGAAATAATCTTTAGTCATCCATAAAACACAATAGGAGAAAAAAAAAAACTATGTTAAAGTCCTTGTAAGAGAGAATTAAAAAGTCAGAGCAAGACAAAGAACAGAATACTTATTAACACAGAATACTTATACAGACAGTTCCTGACTTACAAGTACTCCATTTATGATTTTTAACTTTACAATCGTACAAAAGTCATATACAACTGTACTTTGAATTTTAAACTATTCCTGGGGTAGCAACATGCAGTTTGACACCCTTGTTATGTGGGCAGTGTCAGTGAGCCACAGTCTGCAGTCAGCCACAAAATCACCAGGGCAAAACACTAATACCCTACAATGTACTGTGTTGTTAAGCAATAATGTTTGATAAGTTAGGTGTATTAAATGCATTTTCAATTTTTGGTATTCTTCAACTATGTTGAGCTTATCAGGATGTGAACTCACCGTAAGTCAAGGAGCATCTATAATAAATGTATATTATAAAAACAACATGCCTTGCTTTCCTCATTTGTCAATAGAAGATGGAAGAGAATGACATCATCAGTTTTTCTTTGTCTACTCTGACTGTGGCATTTTTCTTTTTTTTGGCAGTACTGGTATTTGAACTCAGAGCCTCCCGCTTGCTAGGCAGGCACTCTACTACTTAAGCCATTCCACCAGCCCTTACTCCGACCATGGCAAGAAGCCAATTCACACAAGGAACAATCTCTAATAACACCACTTTCTCTATCACACATATGGTTGCTTCCCTATTTCTCTCTTCTCATAGAATATGGTGCTGGTTATGGTGGTACATACTTATAACCACCTGTAATCCTGTACTCAGAAGCTGAGGCAGGAGAATGGTGAGTTTGAGGCCATTCTGGGATACATGGAGAAACACTGTCTCTGAAAACAACAACAACAAAAAAAGGAAGCAAAATACACAAAGAGCTTTTTGTTGTTGTTTTTGGTGCAGGGAATACATTAGCTTTATGCATAGTAAGCACACACTCTACCACTGTGCTATGCCCCCAGCCTGAAAGAAGTTTTTAAGCTCCTTACAAAAAGATATTTGTCTTACTGTTTTATTACCTTTCATTGTGTCCAGAATAAAACAGGCTTCTTCCTGAAAGTTCTGTATCATCTGAAAAAATTTTTTAAAAAATTGCTGATTATTAAAAACTTTGGTTTGCTGCATTTGCTTATGTATTTATTTGTTTTACTTTTTTGGTGGGATGAGGTTTGAACTCAGGGCCTTGCACTCACTAAGCAGGCACTCTACCACTTGAGCCACACCTCCAGCTCTTGCTGCATTTATTTGACTAGGGGGGTTTTCATTACATTAGCTTTAAGTAAAAAATAACCCTTCTGTGTTTCTTAGAACTACTCCACATCTATGAGAGGCTTTACAGCCACGAGTATTTCATGAATTCCTATAGAATCATAAATATTTTCCCCCAAATTTTCAAAAGTCTGCTTTACAAGCCTATTTTTGTTTTTCTTTTTTCCCCTGTGTTTGATTTTGAAATTTTAAAAACTGAGCCATCTATAACAGTGGTTTTAAAAGCAGAATATACACCAGACATAGTGGTACACACCTGTAATCCCAGCATTCAGGAGGCTGAGACAAGAGGATCAAGAGTTCAACTAGCCTGGGCTACATAGTGAGACCTTATCAAAACAAAAACAAAAACAAAGTAGAATATGCGCTTCCCTGGATTAACGCTGAGACTTAGAAAGAGATATAAAGACTTCTAAGTCTTCAACTTCCACATCTATTATTTCCTAAAATCTATTTAGTTTTCCTTTCCCACTTTCTCCTCTCAACCACATTTCCCTTTATATAAACTAAATGCCTAAGTTTCACAATTGTAGAATCCTAGTAAGGGATGAAGATGTAGCTCAGGGGGAGAGTACCTGCCTATCACGCACAAGGCCTGGGTTTGATCCCCAGCAACATAAAAAATTTAAAAAGTAGAAATAAAAGAAAGAAGATAGACTCCTACTAAGGTGCCCTGCCCTGGGGTATAAAAGCCTTAGTGCCAAAATGGAGCTACAAAGGTGAACTCTAATAACAGGGTAACAAACTCTTCTATGAATCACATGCTTTTTAATTAAAGAGTGACCTAATCACAAATGGCCAAATGATAGATGACTCAAAATAATTTTTGGTAACATCACTATGTAATTTTTAGTATATAACCCAGAAGCTAAAACACACACACACACACACACACGAAATCCAATGATGTCATTATAACAAAACTCTATCCATTCCTATCTATTAATTTAGGTGAATTAGGTTCCACAGAACTCATACCTAGGGGCGAAAAAAGAGGATGGAATTGATGCTGAACTCTGTGTCATTTTTGTTATGAATAGGCAGTACTCACCTACAAATTAATCACGTGCTAGGATGGGGGTAAGGAATGGAACAATCCCATTGACCTCATTAATAGATGAGTAATAATCTTTTTTCTTTTTCTCTTTTTTAGGTGTTGAGTATTAAACCCAGAGCTTTGTGCATGCTAAACATGTGTTGTACTACTGAGCTATACCTAGCCCTTTTCTTAATGTTTAATATAATAATTACTTATTAAGACATGATATAAGTATTATTTTTAATCAGTTATATAATTATAATGACTATTCTATTAAGAAATAGTTTTTCAACTTCTTGATTAAAACAAATTTCTGTTTCAAAGTAATGGTAGGATATTCAAGAAGATGGTGAAAAATAAAAATGTATGCTAAAAGTTTATGGGAGTCAGACATGGTGGTACATGCCTGTAATCCTAGCACACAGGAGGCCAAAGCAAAAGAATGTCAGGTTCAAGGCCAGTTTGGATTGTATAGTGAGCCTCTGTTTAAAGAAAAAAAAAAAAGTCTATAGGAGAAGTGAATGTATATATGAGTTTCAAAAAAAACAGGAATGATACAAAAATTCTAACTCATAAAGAAAAGCATAGTCACTTTTTTTTTTAAATTGGATAATATTTGTATTAAATCACTCTTGCAATTTCAATCCCAGTACTGAGAAAAAAAGTAACTCTTATATTTAGGTTACGTAGAATGCAATTAGAATAGGGACATAACCTTCTAATTTTTATTTTACTTTCTTTTTTTTTTCCCTTTCTAATTCTTAAATGTAATATATGTGCCCAGGAAAGACATCTTTTACAACTTTTTTCCCCCAAATGGGAAATATTTTACAACTACTTTAACCTAAAACAATTTTAAGTCAACCTAAAAATGTGCAAAGGGATATATATAGTTTTTAAAAATTTGTTTAGAAGTTAGTAAGCAAGCAAAAAAGTCTGAACCAGGCATGGTAGTACATGCCTACAGTCCCAGCTATTCAGGAGCTGAGGCAGAAGGATCTCTCTTGAGCCCAGGAATTCAGAGCCAGCCCAGACAACATAGCAAGAGCCTGTCTCTTAAAAATAACGAAAATTTTAAAAAATGACGAAAATTAAAAAAAAAAAAAAGTTTGAAACCTCTGGCCTACAAAACAGTTCTGCCCCAGTAGACCTGATTTTGCTCTTGCTACATGCCCTAACAAATTATCATCTGTTAATTCAACTGTATTGAAATATGTACCTCATCACTGATGAGCACGTGGATTCCTGTGGGTCCCTGTTTATAAATCTGGCTGATCTGGCGAGGAGAAATGCTGAAAAGCTGAGCAATTTTTTCTGTCAATTCAACAGCTGTCAGTTCTTCTAAATAGATGGCATGATACACTGCAAAAGGGGGAACAGCAGTTAGCACAAAGGTTCTCTGAATGTTCACTTTTCTTTGTAAGACTCAGAAATCAGACTTCTTGGGTTCACTCTTGGCTCAGCTACTCTTTTGCTATGCAACCTAGGGCAAGTTATTTAACATCCCTACTCCTCATTTTCTTTATGTAAATGTTGGTGATGGCAATAAAATCTATAATAAAAATTATTAGTTGTAAAAACTAAAGCATGTAAAAAGTATTGGGAATAGCACCTGGCATATATTAGGAGCTCAACAAATATGAGTAATTATCATTACTTCTAGCAAATGCTGAATCAATTTGATAAATTCCTACCACACATGCTTGTAAGTCATTTTTTCACCTTTCGTATTTGTTCTAGTCTGCCCAGAACAACCTACCGAAAAAAGTACCATTTGAGTCTCCATCCTCATGTTTCTGTTGTGGTTGCTGCTGCTGCTGCTGTTGTTCCCTTAACTGCAATGATTCCTGACAGACGTAGATGGTTAGCCTTGGACGTACCATCCTAATCGGGGAAGAAAAAAAGGGCTGTCACTCATATTTTTTATGGCAAGCACATTTTAAGAGAGAACATGTCTATGTTACTAGTACAGAACAGCATTTGAAAATTGCTGGTTCATGATCCAAATGTAATTTGTTTATGTTTCATTAGCTCCCCAGTGACAGTTTTTTAATGTTTATTTAAGGTGAATTAGCTCCAACAAGAGGCATAATCTAAACCTTGAAACTTTGGCTTTTTTTGAAAACTTAGATGTATGTGCAATCTGGGATCCTCATTCTCACATGAAAACAATCGTCTTCTTACATGTTGTATGCATTCTTTAGGAAAACCTTATTCCTTTATATTACTTATGTTACTCTTGTAGTCATTTGAGTGTGTGGGCTTTGGTGTATAGGTTAGAATTACACTAAATATACGCATCACTATTTTATGGGTTAGGTTCAAGAGATTTTTTTTACTTAAAAATGCTAATACAACACACTGGAGAATCTTATTTCCCTTGCTTTTTTTTTCTCTTCTTTTTTTGGCAGTACTAGAGTTTGAACTCAGGTCCTTGCACTTGCTAGGCAGGTGCTCTACCACTTGAGCCACTCGGCATGCCCATATCTGTTTCCTCTTACTTTCTAGTCAAATTCTTAATTACTTCTTGATCTAGTCATCTATTCATTATTTCTAAAGGGTGCTTCTTAAATACACTTAAAAAGGAAAGACACATTCTTAAACTTTAAATTCTTGCTTCTATTTCCCATTATATTGAAATTGTTTTTGCAATGCTAAGGATCAAACCCAGGGCCTTGGGCATGTTAGGCAAATACTCTACCACTGGGCTACATCCCCAGCTTTTAAAAGATTTTTTTTTTCCCCAAGTCAAAAAAAAGAGAATTTCATCTCTTTCCTAAAAGTTTTCTAAAACTATAGTCAATCCAATTCAATTTCTCTTATGAAGTATCCAAATAAAACTCCTTCACAATTTGTTTTACTATTTGGTCTGACCTGTATATTTGCCACTGACCTGTATATTTTTTTTCAGCAATATTACTATTTATTTAAAATCGTAAATCTTATCCAGGTATGTGGTAGTACATGCCTGCAATCTCAGCATTTAGGCAATAGATTTTGTTTTTTCACTTTGGTGGTACTAGGGTTTGAACTCAAGGCTTTGTCCTTGCTAGGCAAGTGCTCTACCAGTTGAGCCACTCCCCAATCCCCAATCCCAGCACAGAGGATGAAGAGTTCAAAGCCAGTCTGGGGCTTAAGACCCAACCTTTCATTAATAAATAAACAAACAAACAAACAAACAAATAACATGGTAAATCTTGGGGCTGGTGGTGGAGCTTAGTAGAATTCTTGCCTTGCATACACACAATGCCCTGGGTTTCATGCCCAGCACCACACACACACACACACACACACACACACACACACAAATATTGTAAATCTCAAAAGGATTACAAATTACTCTTTAAGACAAGTAACATTTGCAAGCAGGCATATAAGGAATTCTCTCTCACCTGACTTTAGAATGAACTCTCCCCCAGTTGATATTGACGAGGAACCTTTGCACCTATTGTTCCCTCTGCCCAGAATGTTTTTCCTCATATGACTCTACAGCTTCACAGTTCCCATAACTCAGCTTTAATACCCCCTCCTCAGAGAGTTCTTTCCTGACCATATTCTGACTATTCTATACCTTCAATCTTACTTCTGCCTTTTTTTAAAGAAGACATATTTAGGGCTGGTGGAGTGGCTCAATAGGTAAGAGTGCCTTTCTAGCAAGTGTGAGGCCTGAGTTCAAACCCCAGTACCACCAAAAAAAGAAAAAAAAAATGAAATGAGAAGATATATTTAGCTGTGCAGAGTATTGTGAAGAAATTCACTTATTCAACCTCATTGAAATTTTAACAGTAATTACATACCGGCCTTTTAATGCATTAAAAAGTCTGATTCCATCCGCGGGGCCACAGATTTGGATCACATCATCTCTAGTTAGTTTTAATAAATCTGCACCTGGAATGAATGTAAGCAAATTGGTGATAAAGGCAAAGATCCTCTTCATTAATGACTATTAAAATGGGCTCCATTACAATGACACCTCAGCACCACTATGTTACAGTTCATACTCTTTTGCATGGAACATAAGACCCTTCATGCCCTGGCCCCTGCCTCCTCTAATGTCTCAATTGTCATCCAACTAACTTCTTCACTTAACCTTATTCTTTCCATTAGATGGATGGTGCTGAATGACCACTGTTCTTCCTGTATGAAATATCTACTATCTGACCAAGACTCCTCTCTTTATCACTCAAGATTCACCTCACATGTAGTACACTTTCCCTAACATAAGACCCTCCCTGAACATCTCACTTCATACACACTTTTGTTGGAGCACTTATCCACTGGGGTTTTATTTTGATTTTTTTTTATAACTAATTATGAATGAGTTCTCTGATCAACAGTAATGCCTGATCCACTTGTGTATTCCTACTACCACTGAAGGTGCTATAAAAATAGATTATATAAATAAAATACAATATTGTGATATCAAGGAGGAAATTTCAACCTTTCGATAAAATATTATATGGAAGGCACATTTTAAAATGTGTTGCATGGGTGAGATTCCAAGATGGCGGCTAGAGGGAGGAAGCAGAAAGCGAGCCTCCCATAGTGAAATCTTGGAGAGATGCTGGAGACACACTTTGCAGGCATAATCACTGAGAAGAGGCATAACTTTGACCCCTCCACACCTCCAGCCGGTGCAGAGAATCTCCACTTCACGTTAAACAGAGAAACCACGAGGGCCCCAGGGCTGCCAGTCGCCCGCGCCCAGACTGCTTGGGAAGACGCAGACCAGGTGAGCTTTGCGGTACCACGGTACTCCCACAGACAAGCCTGGGCCACAGCAGCATAGCCCCCTGGACAGACTGACCTCCACCCGGGGAAAAAAGAGAAACTGAGCAATAAGCAATAAGAACAATAAAGACACGTGGGAAAGAGGGTGGGGCGCCCTGAGCGCTGAAGATTGGGGGAAGGGAATCCTTCCCGGGACTGTAAATAAACAAGCCGGGCAGCCCAGAGAGGCTCTGGAGGGAGCGGGGGCATGCGCCCAGCAACCAGGAGCAGGAAAGCTTGTGAGAGTGGAGGAGGGGGGAAAACTCCACAGGAGAGGAGGGAAGACCCACTTCCCACATAAACTGTAAACAAACATGGCGGCTGGCAGGAGCAGCAGCACCGCCCAGTAAGCAGGAGCAGGAAAGCTTGTGAAAGTGGCGGTGGGAGGAAAAGTCCACAGGAGAGGGGGGAAGACCCACCTCCCATATGAACTGTAAATAAACATGCAGGCCTGACAACGCGGGTGCAGTGTCACCTTTCCCAGTGTGCTTGGAAAGGGGAAAGCTTGTAGCAGAGGCTCCCGCACAGGAGAACTCCGAGTAATCAAAGCCTGCAGGGCCAGGTGAGTGCTAAGCTCACCCCAGAGATCTGCATAAATAACGCCACCAGCAACAGCAGACTGACAGCAGCGCTCAGGCAAGCCACAGCTGCAGATACCACTCTCAGAACTGTCTCAAGACTCTTTTTTTTCTTTTTCTCCCTACCTTGTGATGAAGAACAATCCGAATTACACCTGCATGCTGAAAACTTACTGAAACTGGATTGCATTTGAACTTGGGACACTTGGTGGGTTTTTGTGTGTGTGTGTGTGTGTGTGTGTGTGTGTGTGTGTGTGTAGTTTTGTTCTACTTTATGCGTCCCCTTTGATGAGACAACTACAGAACAACATCTGAGGCACCATCTCCAGGTTGGAGACTGAGACTGACCCCAATTATTAAGACTGAACTTCATTGCATTTGAACTTGGAGGTTTTTTGGTTTTTGTTTTTTTTTTATTTCTATTTTTCATCTTATTTTAATTCATTTTATATATAGAATTTCTTTCATTTATTTTTATTTTTATTCTTATCTTTTTTTTTTTTATTTTTGATTTTCAATTCTCTCTGTCTCTCTAATGTCTGTTCAGCTTACTATCAATTAGTACACTAACACTCCCTGTTTATACCTTTGAAACTTCTTGTCTGATACCTTGTTCTGTTTTCTCCCTCCAGTCTGTGTATTTGTTTTCCCCTTCTTAACTTCTTGCTTTCCATCTCAGCTCACCTTCATTCTAAATATTACATTGTTATTATTACAAGCTAGAAATACTTAATTTCACACAGACAGGGACAGTAAAACACCAAAGACAATGATGGAAGACAGGAAAAAAAAGGAAACCAGTTCTCCCCACAGCAAAAAATTAGTAAGGAACCAGAGGGGAAGTGAAGAAAACAGATACTCAGAAGACTCAACAAAAGGAAGATAAACTATGCCAAGAACCCAAGAATATTTAAAAGAAGACATACTACAGGTACTCATGAGAATTTATAGAGATGCATACTGGAGAGGTCAACCAAAATGTACAGAGACACTCAAGAAATTCCAAGACAACAAAATAGAGAATTTGAAAAAGCAAAAGAAGAAATAAAGGAAACCATAGAAGCACTGTATAAACACCAAAGTGAACAGAGACACGATGAATAAACAGATAAATGAACTCAGGACAAAAAATTGACAACATTAAACGAGAAACCACCCAGGATATGGAAAACCTCAGAAAAAGAACAAAAAGAACTGCAAAACAAAACGGAAGGCCAATCCAGCAGAATAGAACAAACAGAAGACAGAATCTCAGAACGTGAAGATGAAATGGTAATTAAAGGAAAAACTGAAGAACTATTAATTAAACAACTCAAGACTGTGAAAAGAAATGCAAGAACTCACCGACTCCACAAAAGACCAAACTTGAGAATCATGGGCATCGAAAGAAGGAGAAGAGGCAAGCGAAAGGGAATTGCGTAATATATTCAAAGCAATAATAACGAAAATTTCCCAACATCTAGAGAAAGATATTCCCATACAGATGCAAGAGGCCTCCAGGACACCAAACAGACCAGATCAAATAGAACTACCCACGACATATCCTCATTAAAACAAAAA